GTAGTAGTAGTAGTAGTAGTAGTAGTAGTAGTAGTAGTAGTAGTAGTAGTAGTAGTAGTAGTAGTAGTAGTAGTAGTAGTAGTAGTAGTCTTAGTCTTAGTAGTCTTAGTAGTAGTAGTAGTAGTAGTAGTAGTAGTAGTAGTAGTAGTAGTAGTAGTAGTAGTAGTAGTAGTAGTAGTAGTAGGAGTAGTAGTAGGAGGAGTAGGAGTAGGAGTAGGAGTAGGAGTAGGGGTAGTAGTACAAGTAGCAATAGTTGTAGCAATAGTTGTAGCAGTAGCAGGAGCAGCAGCAGGAGTAGTAGTCTTCGTCGTCGTTGTCGTAGTAGAAATAGCGCTCCGCCGCTTGGAATTCTGCTGCCGCCCGGTGCACTAACAGTACTTCCATGTACTGCTGCAACGTCTGCCGCTATCCGCAGTACCAGCACTTGCTACTGCCACTTGTGAAAGTGCACCTGTAACTCCCGGCTCCTCCGAAAGCAATGGAACGGAGTAAGCGACGGGTTGGGGTGGTGGGGCTCGGGGGGCGAGGTGTCAGGCTTTATGGCTTAAGCATTCTTGCGTTTGTGGTTTCGCCAGTAACAATACGTGGAGACCCTTCTTTGCAGAGGCAAAGGAGACCCTTCGTTGCAGAGGCAAAGCTGTACGATTCGGCACGTAGGTGGAGGAGGTACATCACCACTTATATGAGAATTTGAAAAAATAGGGGGTAGCTTATGCTGGGGTCCTTAAAATAAGGATCCGACTATTCATGGTACTATATTAGGGTCCACTATTTCGGAAACTCCCATTTACCTTCGAAGACAAAAAGGCTCCTTTAACGAGCACACGCATGAATCCCGAGAGCCCAAACCTCAAAAGACTGTGACCATCGACTCAAAGTCGAAGGCCCTAACCCCAAGGGTTTGGGGATTAGGGTTTGGGGTTAAGGGTTGGGGGATGAGGGTTTAGGGTTTGGGGATTAGGGTTTAGGGTTTGGGGATTAGGGTTAACCCCAAGGGTCCAAGGACCCAATAATTGGGTTCCTATTTGGGAGAGTATATGATCATAGGGTATTTGGACCCTTGGGGTAAGAGCCCTGACACAGGGGCCTTTCGAAACTTGCATAGGGCTTTGGGTATACTATGCTCTAACCCCTTTGGGGGTAGATGCCATTATACCTGTGACCATAACAAAAAAGACAAAGGAACAGCAAGAGCTGAAGCTGTGCCGCGTCCCTAAGCGAAAATCTCAGGAAAATCTGCACACGAGGTTGGCCAGCTCAAAAATCTGAAACATATTCGCAGAATCAGATCCTCTTAAGCACACAAAAAGAAAACATCAAGTATCCCAAAGGCCTACCTAGAACAGCCACCCAGCACAAGCGGACTGAGATGAGGGCCGTCTTGTACCTGAATCAACCCAGTGGCATTGCTTTCTTTTTGGTTTTTCAGGAGTCATGGTTTTGGGCCTACCAGTAGTTCTTTTTTCAAGTTTTGGGCCTAGTTTAGCGTTTAGGAATTAGATTCAAGGTTCTTGGCTTAGGGCCTTCAGATCGGAACCTGATGGAGAAATAAGGAACATGCCCAGAGATCCCAATACCCCTTAATTAAGGAATAGACCTTAAACCATAATATGAAGGCCTCTATAATTTAAGAGATAGTTATTCCTTAATTAAAGGATATTGGGTTCCCTGGGTGCATGTACACTAACTGTTCGGACTCCTGTGGTATTCTGGAACTTCTGCGAAAGGTTTAGGATTCAGGAGTTCAGAGGCCGAGGTTCAAATAATGTTCTACTGGTCTACTTAGGGTTTAGGGGTTTAGGGGTTTAGGGGTTTAGGGCTCAATCCTAAAGCAAGCTGCTGAAACATTGGAGCCCGAAGTCGGGCAGCCCCAAACCTGGTTGAACCAAGACCTGGTTTGCATCAGAAATTAGCCAGATCGGCCCCCCCCCCCCACCCCACCCCCACACCCATGCCAATTCCCAGCAAACATGCTGCTCCAAGTCATTCGCCTAAAGCCCTTTGCTCTGAAGCAGTGCCAAATCAAACCGCAAGCATCGGAATCGATTGCTCACGGTTTAGGGTTTAGGGCTCACGGCCGGTGGCGCACGCAACATGCGGGATCATGACTGCCTGGTCTGCGGGTACCTGACGAACGGAGCTTACGACGCTCGTGGGTCACGTGGGCGTTCTAAGTGGGTTGATCTGAAGAACTCCAGCATAATCATATCGGTAGCCACAAGCCGCTTCAGATGCAATGTAAGAGCAGAGGGCCGGAGGATGCATGGGCCTTGTAACCAAGACTCGCTAGATTATGGCCCATCTACGACACCGCTGGTCAATATCACTCGGAAGAAATTTCGATCACATGCTGCACAGCCTTCAAGGAAGAGCTCGAAAGCCAGGAACACCCAATCCCTGGAACAAGACCTTAAATCCCAAACCAATCAACCAAATGCCGCGAAGTCATGTCCCGCCCTGCATAAATCATCCGGTTATGAGCCCTGTGTCAGGCAAATCCCAAGTTGTAAATGCTGTATAGACCTACCTTCTTGTCAGTAGATACTCACTACCCCAACCTCCCTCTTGACAAAGTCAAGGGCATCAGAGAGTTCGGACTTTGGGCATCTGTGGCTGCTTCAAGACTCATGGTGCCTTGGGTTTAAGTTGCACCTTGGGGTTGAGGGATTCCGAGGCCGAGCATATTTTCGACATTTCAAGCATGGTAGGGTTAAATGAAACCAAGAAGTGAAGGGCTGCGTACCCGAAACCTGAAACCTAAGCCCTAAACTTTAGGCCCGAAACTCTGAAACCCAAACCCTATGAATGTATAAAGCCGAACATCCAAACTACAGTATGCTGTAGTATGCTGTACTATGTATGATCTAATATGACATGGTCAGCCTTCAGAACTCCGAACGGTGCAGTGTTTTGTTGCTGGATCGGCTCTGCAGTGTTCAGGGTTTAGGGTCTGCTTTGGGGGATCTTTGGCTGAGCTTTGAGTTTTTATTCTTTTGAGGGCTCTTTTCCGACAGGGTTCAGGGTTTAAGGGTCCAGGGTATTTTAGGGCATTGAAGGCTCTAAGTTTAAGATGTACGGCGGCGGTCCCAGGGCTTACAGGGGCCCACAAGCCATAAAGTTAAAGAAAACTTCGACGGAGACTATAGGTACAGCCCAAAGGTCTCCTTCGCGGCTTTTTTGTCCGAAAATCCTCCCCTTATGGGGTGCTTCCCGTCGTCACATAAGAACACTAGCCCGCCACTTCAGCGCAGCTTTGCTGCTTCGGGCCGCGGCCATAAACCCCTACATGCCCTAGATCGATCCAGCTTCTCTGCCCCTACAGTCGCACGGTATGCCCTGGCCCTAAGCCAGGTGATGCGTTCATATATATATATATATCCAGATATTGGTCTTGTATCATGAAATATGTTCCCCTCCAGTGTCTGCGATAGAGGAACCTACTGCCCCGTGTACATATCTTGAAGGAGATTCTGCTCCCTAAACACTAAACCCCCAAAACCTAAACCCTAAACACCTGAACCCTAAACAAACCCCAAACCCCTAAACCCTACACCCCTAAACCCCTAAACCCCTAATTAAACTCCTAAAATCTAAACCCTCAACCCTAAACTTCGCGAACCCAACGATCCCCTCTGCAGTCTCCTTTCGCGGATGTTGTACGGTTTCAGCACAGGACTTCAGTAACCACAGCCATCTGCCTATCTATTAATAGTTATATCTCTCTCTACCCATCCATCTATCTATCTATTGCAAATATACATGCAATGCGCCCATCTTGAAGAATCGTAAGATCTTCTGTCCGTTTAGGGCTTAGGGGTTTAGGGTATGGGGGCTATACTATACCCACTACATAGATGGAACTCAAGAAGTGAGGCTTGAGGAGCTGCTAAAAAAGATGATCGTCAAAGGCCTATGCTTCTCGGTCATATTGCATATGTCGGTTCTTTTGCGTGTATCGTGCTTTTCGCAACACTCGTAAAGGAGCACTGCAGGCTCAGAACGATAACTGTGCTGGGCAGGGAGACCAGAACGCCTAAATCTTGCAGTCCACAGAACCAATAAATGCGCTGGGTCCGCAAGTTTGCCATCGAACCAGCCCCTGCCAATCGAAGCAGTCGTAAAGTGCAACTCGAGAAGCATTGCGAAACAGACAGACCAGACTATGACTAGGATATGCCTTTGCGGACAATGACGAACGACAAGCACTAGTTTTTGAAGCTGCCATGTCGACTAGTAGGATCTTTAATCTATGGACCTCCTAAAGACACCCCTCCCGTCACGGAAATCACGTCTTCTACCTGAATGCACAGTCGTGGTAAAAGGCGGCCGGACAGCACGCACTGCTATGCATTGAGGTGGCCTCTCGTAGGCTTATGTGGCAGTGACGGAAGAAGACCTACTTGCTTTGGTGCGGGTGCCTAAGCAGGACTGCCGTAGCTGGTCCTAAGAAGGGTCCGTGATGTTGAGACATTCATTCCCACACGATATCACTGATAAAACCTCCTCGTCAAGCTGTGTCGATTTAATGCTTGGTGATCTACGTCCTCTGCGAAATGCGCATCCTTGCCACAACCCCAGCGAGAGTCACCTAGAAATACGGAGGAGCTCCATGATGAATCTGTCGTCGATAAACCCTAAAGCCCTAAACCCCCCTAAACCCTAAAGCCTCCCAAGTTTGAATCCAGAAAGAGGAGCTCATCCGGAGGCCCCCTCTAAAGCATGCGAGGGAAGATAGGTGACCTCGGGCTACCTGGGCCAAGCCCAGACTGACAGATGTACCAGGGCCTTAACAATTTGAACAGGGTGTTGTTACAAATTTTAAAATCATTATACTGGCTTAGGAGTATTGGCTGCATATGGTCGAGTGGGGGACTGAGTTGGTTGGGAGTTTTCATTGGGGGGCCGGTTTGGGGGGGCGGGGACAGGGGGCGGGGGCTTGGTGGCATATGATAGTCGAACTGCATAAGGACTGTTCTTGCGAGTTATTAAGGCCCCTGATGCTACTCCACATCAAGGTCCACCGACCTGTTCTTTCCCTCCTGCAGCTGTGAGGACATCCGATCCAGGGCAATGCCTTCTTCCACCAGCATGCGCTTGACCGTTAACACACGGCCCTGAGCGTAGGGTAAGGTCTTGTCCATCACCTCCGTCGGAAAGTCCGTCTCGAAATCCTTTGCGAAAGCCACCTGAGTAAGATTGTCAGCCGAGCCAGAGCCGTCGGAGATGCCCTTGATGCGTAAAGTCAGATTCGGGTATCTTTTCAGGATCTCAGCGATCTCATGAATCAGGGCCTGATTAGCTTCAACTTCGGAAGCATCCCAGGATCGTTGTATCTTCTTCTCCACAGTGCTGGGAGGTTCCCGGTCTGTCCATGGATGGTCGTTGAAGACCTCGGTCAGTCATGTCTAGTGGAAAGTCTCCGTTTCACTACGGTTGTTTTAGGCCTCTGTGTGAACGATGAAAGCTTGGTCTGCTATAGGAATATCCAAACCTGTAGAATAGGTCTACGTTGTTGGCTAGATAGCTTGTGAGCTGGCTATGTGGTTGAAGCTTGTCGGCTGGGTTGGGGTACACGTTACCAGGGATTGGGGGGTTGGGTTCACGTGCAGGACATGGGGCTTGGAGTTCTTGGAGCTTTGATTTCGGAGATAGTCTCCGGTGAAATCAAGGCCTGTCGTTTCCGAACCGACGAAGTCAGTGCGGAAAAACCAAACTGAAGCCTCTATCCGACTTTAGCCGGATTCTCAACACCCAAACCCTGAAACACTACCTATAGGGTCATACCCTACCTCTTTTTTCTATGTAAGAGAACCTAACCATAAAGCTAGGTACCCTAAAAAAGGGGTAGGGTATGACCCTCTAGGTAGATCCCGAACCCTAAGCCCTAAACCCTCAGAACTAAATCGATTGAGCACAGGCGAAAGCACCAAGCTCTTGCCAGACAAAGCTTTCCGCAGTTCCTTGGCCCCCTTCTCCAGCTGCTGCTCTTTGGAAGGAGCCTTCCGACGAAGCCGAATGCCGGAACCCCACACATCATCTCGTGTCGAGTTGTAATTGTGGCGATTTCTTGTCAGAACTGCTTTGCTTATGGCTATGGCTGGAACGGACCTAGCTCTTCTTGTTGTCATCACCTATATTCTCATTTCTAGCCCCTGTGCCCTTCATCCACGTTAGTCGCCATCGCCCTTGTCTCCTTCCAAGCCCTACAGGCCCGAACCTTTAGGGTTTAGGGTTTAGGGTTTAGGGTTACAGACACCAGCCCGTATAGACTCTGATAATGTGGCTTCTGGATTCATCGTTCCGTTCCAGGATATCTTCACGGACTGTTTTGATCAACGGGACCGAGAGCCTGCACACCCAAAAGCAGCAACCCCCCACGACACCCTCATACGTCCCTGGAGCGCGCAACTTCTTTTTACGCTTTGGAAAAAAACTTACCAAAACACCCCACACCCCAAACCCTCAGCCTTGTCTAGAACTCCTATAATTATAGAAACCTTGTCGACACCCCAAATTTACCCTTGTAGAAACCTGGCTCCCGTATTTTACAGAACCCCGAAAAGAATGCTTGAAGGAACGAGCCCTCACGCAAGGACCGCCTCGGCAGCTCTGTCGTACTCTTCCTTTGCTTTCATCCAGTCGTCGTGGATCCTAGCTCATGTTTGGGATGATATGTTTACAACACCTGGCTTTCTCTTTATTATTGGGCTTAGTAACCATAAACGGCACGGTCGGGATAGTAATGATATTCCTTATTGGGTTTCATAAGTACCTAAACTAGGATGCCCAGAAACCTAGGAATGAAAAGGGCTCCCTTTTTGGTATTAGGTAACTTTCCAAGGAACCCAGGACTAGAAAAAGGGAATAAGGGTACTATTAGGCATCCAAGAAAAAACATGCAACAAGCACCTAAAACATACAAAAAAACCTAAACCCTAAACCCCCAAACCCTAAACCAAAAAATGTCCGGTGATGACAAAGGATCCTGGCCAAGTGCGCCTCGCCTCAGTCTCAGAGGCTGGCAGCTGCTTTGAAGAAGCTCTTGAACTTACTGGAAATGTGCCTGTATAGAGGTTACCGGCTGATCTTACTACTAGATATTGAGGCCCGTATCTTAGGGTTGTGGAACTTGTAATTTGTAGCTAAGACTTCAGGAGGCAGCTTATTGGCAACTGAAATTGAGGATCCGGCTTGAACGCTTTAGGGATCTTCCTACTTGTCGGGTATCATGGGGAACCAAGGGTTAACTTTACTACCCCAAACAAGGTAAAAGGTTGCCTACTCTACTACTAAGGTAAAAGCCAGAAAGTTGGAATATGATTATCCTAACCCTTCTATGGTAAATTATGGGGTATCCTACCATGAAACCATATTCCAACTTTCTGGAGTTTCCTATAGATCGTTTAGCGGCTCTGAGGTTTCGGGTGGTGTGGGTTTATCGGCAAGCGGGCGTTTTTCATGCATGTACTCTTGCTCGTTCGTCTCTCTCTCTCTCTCTGTGCGTGTGTCCGGGTGCATGTTTGTATGTTCGAATGGGACGAGTAATGCATAAATGCATGGATACATGGATGGCTGGCTGGCATGCTGGCTGGCTGGCTGGGTGGCTGGCTGGCTGGGTGGCTGGGTGGCTGGGTGGCTGGGTGGATGGGTGGATGGATGGATGGATGGTGGAACGAAAGGAATGGAACAATGTATGTATGTATGTATGAACGTCTGTCTGTATCTCTGGGCATCTGAACATCCGTGCCTCTGTCTGCCCATCTGTGTGTATGTAAGTATGTATGGATGCCTGCCCGTATCTCTGAGCATCTGCACGTCTGTCTGTCTGTCTATCTGTCTGTCTGCCTGTCAGTCTGTCTGTCTGTCTGGCTGTCTGTGTCTCCGTGTCGGTCTGTCTCTGTCTCCATCGGTCGGCCTGTCTGTCTGCCTGCCGGTCTGTATGTATGTATGTATCTGTTTTCTTGTACGTGTATATATGAATGGATGTATGTATGTATGCAGGTGTGTATGTGAATGTATGTGTATGTGTATGTAATGTATGTGTGCGTGTGTATGTATGCATGCATGTGAGAACCCTGAACCCGAAAGTCTTGGAAGGCAAGAGTCATTTCTCTCCATCTGGGCCGCATGCATCAATCTTTGCCTTGACCTGAGGCTTCCCCCAATTTAAAACACGAGATCGCGGATTTGGACTTTGAGAAGTACCTAAAGTCTCCATTGTAGTTCTTTTGTGGGGTTACCTTATGGGTTCCTTAATATATATTTGTTTGAACCAAAAAAAGGAACTACAATGGACACGAAAGGTAGGGTTTAGGGCTTGGGGGCTTAAACGTTTGAGGCTCTGGGGATTTACAACGAACTTGGGGTCGGTTTGGGGTTTGGGGGCTGGAGTTTATCTTAAGCCATATTAACCAACCTTTTTAAAGACTTATAACTTATATAAGGAAATCATAATAAGGAACCCTAAAACGGTAGGTTATTCAGGGTTGAGGTAGCCGGACAAATCGGGGTCTTAGTCTAGTAGCCTTCACATCACTCATACCCCCCAGTAACCCAAAACCGGATGACCCAGTTGCCTACCTATAGTCTGCATTGTAGTTCCTTTTTTTGGTTAAACCAATTTTATGGTTAGGATCCTTTCAGGTAACCCAAAAAAGGAGTTACAATGGAGACTATAGCTAACGAGCCTCCCCCGTCTCAACCCAAAGCTCTTAGCCCCCTTTATGCGAGGCGCGAGGCATCCAGCTCTCGCCTCAAAACCCCAACACACCCTTCATTTGCTTTACAGTAGAAGCCAGAAAGTTGGAACATGGGTTTAGGAGGATTAGTGCTAGGATCCCTTATCCTGTACCTTAAGGGCATGAGGAGAATAATGTTCCAACTTTCTGGCGTCTACCATATCAGAGCATTGAGAAAGGAAAGGAAACCCTGAAAGAATTTCTTATGGATGATTAAGAAAGAAGAGGACACCGGAAACCCTTACTGTATGGATCATTAAGAAAGGAAAGGGAACCCTGAAAGAAACCCTTACATATGGATCATTAAGAAAGGAAAGGAAACCCTTAAAGAAACCCTATCTGTATGGATCATTAAGAAAGGAAAGGGAACCCTTAAAGAAACCCCTATGGATCCCATTAGAGAAGCCCGGATGGGTTTATCGGCTGAAGGACTTAGCGTGCGGGGTGTCGGGGCTGCCGAGGCCAAAGAGAACGCCTCAAGTTCCCAAACACCTCACGGTTTAGGGTTTAGGGTTTTTAATTTGAGATCTTGACTCAGCATAAACTTTAGACTATTTTATTGGCATGTTGCATTGTGCTATAATAGACTGTAGTGTACGACAGGGTAGTATACAGCATACTGTAGTAATTAGTCTAGCACAGTACACCGTAGATCACAGTATGTTGATGCGTACAGTAGTATGTTATAAGTAGTCAAAAGTCGATCATAGTCACAGTATGTTATCGTATGGGCCACAACCCGAAGCCCCAAACACCCAGTGTTAACTTAAAAGAGCTGATAGCCAAAGAAACCCAAACCCTAAACCCTCAACCCCTAAACCCCGAAACCCCTAAAGCAATAGAGACAAGTCCCCGACCTCTTCGGCAATCCGCCTGAGATCCTTGGCCTTTGCCTCTCCCGCCCGCTTGTCGAAGTTCGCTTCTGTCAGGGTCGAGACATGCGTTCTTAGTTTGACACCAATTTGCGAGAGATGCGACTTAATGCCCTAAATCCGGTTTCTGCTCTCGGGCGTTTTGGGTTCCATAAATGAAGTTTGCTAGAGATGCTCTCCAGGGCCGTTGTAAGCTCGAGGGTTAAAAACTTCACTTCGCGGAATGCAACGTCAGCTCATGGGCTCAGTTGCAGGTTCTGGGTTGTTGTACAACCGTCGTTTGTACACACGACGCTGCGTTATGGGAGTTTCCGAAAATAGGGGACCCGAATATGGTATCCAAAATAGACAAGGACCCCAGAAGAAGGTACCCCTAATTTTTCGGAAACTCCCATATCGGAACCATGCTGAAAGACCACCCGGACACGGCCCATAGCTACTTGGAGCCTGAGCCTCCCCGGAAGAGCGGACTTAGGAGGCGGGTATTAATGGTAACCCCACTTACTGTGCTTTGTATCTGCGGTTGCAACCTACTTGCTAAGTCCCATGGTCCTTCACGTACAGCTGACAGTCAAACCTTGCTCTCTTTCCGCACAAGGGCCCCTAAAAACGAAACTCGAAACCAAAAGGCTTAGTACTGAGAGGTTCATGGGTAGTTATAAGTGGGGTCAAAAGTCCCCTAACAGGGCTTATAACTATAGCCAAAAGCTACCATACTTATACCCCCACTTATAACTACCCATGAACCTCCGAGTAGCCGTGGAAGAGCTGGTGGGTCTCGAGCGGAGGGCTTTTGGGTGAAAACCCAAGACCCACACCCCAAACCCTCGCCAAACCCGAAGCCCTGACCCGAAACTTAAAACATCTGAAACCCTACAAAAAACATACCCTAAAGCCCCATAACGCCTGAAACCCTGAATACTAAAAGCAAGCACTGTATCGAAACCCTAAAACCCTGAACCCCTAGAAGGCCTGAAACTCGAAACCCTAAATTTCAAGCCTAAACCCTGAACCCCTGGAAGGCCTGAGACCCTGAACCCTAAATTTCAAGCCTAAGCCCTGAACCCCTACAAGGCCCGAAACCCTAAACCTTAAATTTCAAGTTTACTAAACCCTGAACCCCTAGAAGGCCTGAAACCCTAAACCCCAAATTTCAAGCCTAAACCCTGAACCCCTAGAAAGCCTGCATCCCTAAGAACTAAATTTCAATCCTAAACCCTAAACCCCTAGAAGGCCTGAAACCCTAACCCTACGCCGTTTCCACAAGGGGGGCTCCTGCCAAATCTCGGCGCGACTCGAAGGCTTCCGGAACGTCACGCCAACAGTCCACAGATTTTTGCCTTGGGAAGTCTCTGCTAAGGTCAGACGGACTCTTAGGGGGGTAGGGGGGAGGAGGGGGGGTTGGGGACTATACTTCCTTACATAAGCCTTACTAAGTCATACCTATAGTCTCCATTGTAGTTCCTTTTTGGGGTTACCTTACAGGATCCTTAGTATATAAATGGTTAAACCAAAAAAAGGAACTACAATGGAGACTGTAGGTAGAGACTCTTAGGGTGGGAGGGCGGGGGGGGGGGTAGGGGACTATACTTCCTTAAACAGGCCTTACTAAGTCCTGATTATGGGTATTAAGGCCCCCGGCCCCCCTCCACCCAACCCACCTAAGAGTCCCTATGATAAAGCACAGAAAGGGCTTAGGGTTGCCATAATAGCTAGAATGGTTCTTATGAGGATCTTCCATGAGGGTACTATAAAGGTTTCAGTATAGAGAGATTTTTGCCGCGGTCAGTCCCCTCCCAAGAACAAGAACATAGGGGGCAAACATAATGGGTGCCTTGGGTTCCTTGCAGTATAAGTACGGTTGAGTATGTATACGGGACCAAACCAGGCCCTCACAGCCTTTTGGTTTGACAAGACGGGGCCCATAGGGTGGGGGGGGGCTGGGGGGCTTGTATTTTGAGTAGGTCTTCCGACCCCGAAGTGCGACTGCGGGCCAAGGGACCCTGACACCGTCAATGCCTTACATTCCTTAGGGCTCCAGTCTTGTAAATTGCAGACAGGTTTCTGACCATGTCGTATGTAACCTGGTTTTCGTGCATGTGTACATATATATATATATACATGTATATATATATATATAATGTAAATGCCTATGTGTGTATATATATATAGACACATAGGAAGGTAATGTAAGGCAACTTAATGTAACGTAATGTAATGTAGTGCAACGTAGCGTGATGTAATGTAATGTAACATAATGTATGTACTGTGTTGTCATGCAATGCCATGTAATGTCAGGTAATGTCATGTAGTTTCATGTAATGTAATGTAATGTATGTATGGATGGATGGATGGATGGATGGATGGATGGACGTGAGCGTGCATCTGTTTGTGTATATATATATATATATATATATATACACACATAAGAGGTGTGTATACATACAAAATAGTTCTACAGATGTATATATATATATATATATATATATATATATTACATAGGGCATTCTGGATCGAGTTCTGGGAACACCCCAGAATATAGCCAGGGCCCCAGTGTCTTAGACACGCAGAAGCCATCCCGAACTCGCCGGCGTGGCACCGAAAGGCGAGGGCTCGCCGTTCCAAGGCAAGAGCTGCCATCCACTTGGCAAGGCATCTTGGACTGCCGCCCCCGAAGGCTTCGCTTCGCCTACTGGTGAAGCACCACACAAGGCCTGCCTATAAGGAAGCAGCTGGCTGGAACAGCGACATTTCCATGGGACGGAAATGGACGGCAAAAGAATGGGAGGAATACTACTCCTCTGGTGGGCAGCGATCGGATCCCCACCATGGTGCGCCCAACCCGAAGCACCGTGGCAAGGGCAAAGCGAAAGAAGGGAGGCAGCCCAAGGACACATCGGCCTTCCCCAGTTTCGAGCAAATGCCCGCCAACAGCAAGACCAGGCCACCGGCTGGTGGGGGCCAGGGCAAAGGCATCTCGGCCTCGACTGCTGCAGCCATGACGGATGGAGGCCAGCCAAATGGTGGTTTGGCTCGCCACATACAGAAAGCGGTCAACAACCTACGAAGGTGCGAAACAAGGCTTCGCAAATTGGAGACGGAGGTCCAGGACACCGATGCAAAGTGGGCGGAGTGGCAAGCACAGATGAAGAAAAGCTTTGTCACGGAGCGATCGAAGTACTACGAGACCATCAACCGCCTGAAGGCAGAGACGACCGAGATGCAAGAGGCTCAGGAGGAGGCCATCGAGTCCCTGCAGGCGGCGTTCTCCAAGACCGGCGACGAGGCAATGGATGTCGAGGCCGACGAGGTTCCGGACGATGTGCAGAAGGAGTGGGAAGGCCTTCTGGAAGACGCGGAACAAAACGAAGATGTAGCCTCTCGCATACACGGGGCCCTCCTGGGCCGCACCCGCCAAGGCGCCGACACCAGACAGGAGCTCCTCGCGATCCTCACGGCCCACCGCACCAAACAAGCTCGCTCAGGCGGGCGACCGGCCGATGCTGTTACCCCGCCTCGCAAGCACAAGGACCAAGCGCCGCGCACACCACCGTGCCCAAACCGCCCAGCCAAGACGACAGATCTGGCGGAGCCCACCGAAGTGGACAATTGGTTGGAAGGTGCGGCCAAGCGAGATCCTTACCTGCAGTCGCCGTCCACGGGCAGCAAAGAGTACACTGGCATGGAGAGTACACCATCGAGGCCCCGACCGACAGAACCCCGACTCCCGGTCAAGACCAGGACCAAGCCGCAAACAGAGCTTGGCTCCCGGCCATCGCTGAGCGACAAGCTCGATCAAAGCCGTGCCAAAGCAATGGAGAACAATACGACCGTGACAGTGGAGGACTGCGAGGAGGACATGGTCGGTGCCCTCACAGGCCACAACAGTCGTCCCCCGGAACCTGGGATAGGCGAAATGGAATAGCGGCAGGGCGATGCAGCCCCGACTCGCCACCTATGACCCCGGACGATGCTACAGGGCTTTTTCGGTCAGTCCCTGAGCATGACGGTCCGCAATGGCAGCCCTCTGGGGAGATGCTGCCCAATCCCTTTGGTGACTTTTTTGGTCAGTTCACCTCTACCAGTCCGGCACAACAACCATGGGTGCTGGCACACCACACGGGCCCTCGGGCCCTGCACCACGACTCCAAACAGGCCGTGATGGCTATTGTTAAGGTCTACGACATCTTCGACGTCGAGCACATCATGCTCGATGCCTTGGCGAACCTCTTCGTTGAATATGCTCTACTGCTTGGGCCACACTGTGAATGTCTCTTCTACAGTGCCGGGCTCTTTATTTTGATGGCCCTCACAGGGGTCCTCCTCTGCCAGGCCCGATGGCAGCGCCCTTTTGCCAGCAGGAACGGAGGGGGCTCCCTTTGCCACCGCCCAGCCTGGCTACGGATCATAACCTGCTTTGCGGTCCTTGTCCCTGTGAAGGCCTCCCCAACAGCCGATCACCCCTTTACGGCACAGCGGGAAGACTGGCGACGCCCCAGCGACATTGAACTGTGGACCAGTGGGCTGCTCACCCCCTACGAACAAGTTGTTGCACAGGGGGTACGCCAGATCTATGACACCCACAGTGGTGGAATCATGCCTGATCGACTACACCCTGGTGGACCGCCGCTTTTCCCGCCTCCACCGCCAGAGCCGCCCGATTTGGACGACGAGGGCTTCCTCGCTGACGAGCACTTCATCGACGAGAGGGAGACTTTCCACATCTCCTTCTGGATGTGCTCCCCTGGCATCGAACCACACTCTGTGGATGTGTCGGTACACTTCCCACAGACTATAGACAGCATCGTCGAGATTGTCCTCGAATCTACTGATGGCCTCGGTCACGAATGGTTAAGTGAGGCGATCCCTATCACCCCACAGCTGGAGGAGTTCTACGGCAGCCTTTTCCTTGTGCCGAGCTGGATCCCTCACTCAAATACCAAAGCCCTCGTACTTGATGCGAGGGACATTGACCACGGCATCCGCCCCATCTACCTGAGCGTGCCTGTCACACGTTTCAATGTTCTTGGTAAGCTCGGGCTCGACCAGGATGCAGCCTTCCATGTATTTGTGGCTGGCTCAGCGCGACCCCTTGGGCCAGAGGATACCATTGCACCGGCACAAGGCAGCCTCATCAAGGTGATGCGGCCCGACACACAACCCGATTGGGTAGATGAACTACGGGACCGCCTCCATGACCCACTCCTGTGGGACCCGGACATTGGCCATCCTGACTCTGCTGCAGGGAGACACGTCGAGCTGCAGACCTACAATGCTGTCTGGCATCATCGCACTGGCCCCACTGACAGGCGACCACCTCTCGAAGTTGCCTGCGAAGCCTTCCATCTCGAACAGCAGCACACTTGGGTCAGAGCTCCAACGGAGCGCCCCCGAGCCCTCTACTGCGACGAGAAGCGCATCCACTCCGTTGTCGCGGTCGTCGACCAGAGAACCACACCGAGGCAGACGCATGGTATCGTCTTCCTCGACCTCAGACCGATCGGGCGATGGGTGCAGTGGACAGCAGTCAATGGGGGGCTCTTCAGGGCAGCGGCCTACGTTGCTGCACTCCAGGTCGACGTCGTCGAAAATTTCACAATCGTCGTCAAGGGCGGCCGAACGAAAGGACGCCACGGTGTCATCGAGGTCGAGGACGGTGAAGTTCTTGAGGTTGTCCTTGTCCCGACCACCTCTCTTTCCTCCTCCGAGTCCTCTACCAGCGAGGCCAATGATGACGAGGACGATCCTGATGATGAGCACAGTGGCAATGACAACATGCCCAGCTCCTCAGAACTCTCACCACCGGGCAGCCCCCCACAAGGACCCGGCCCCTTTGGCCCACCACCGCCACAGCCGGTCAACCGCCCGAGAAGCCGCAGCCCCCGTGGACGTGACAGAGCTCTTCCTGCGCATCCTGTTGAAGCCAGGACGCATTACGACAGCCCCACGGCCACCGACCTCGCTTCTTCCGAAGGTCCTATTACTGTTCGACTTGCTGAACATGTTGAAGCACCGTCTTTCAGCCTCCTCTCACAGACAGTCACCCTGCCACATGACCCAACCACAGGTCACAAGCTGACCTGCCCATGGCCCCTGGACTGGCTGCAGTTCGAGGTCGAGAACTTCGACTTCAAGGAGGTCACCAAGGAGGCCATCAGTGACCTCAAGAACTGGAAGGAAATACTCACTGGCCTGGGCCCGCATAACCTCCCATCGCTTCACATATATGTTGATGGATCGTGGGACCCAAGCACTGGTCTCGGAGGCTTTGCCATTGCAATCTTCATTGCACACCATGACGAATGGGCTCTCTTTGGTTTATGCGGCGATCGTACCCACGGACACACCACTGGCTCGGTTTGGGAAGTACAGGGACCTCCCCCTCTCGTCAATGAGCAGATTGCCATCACCACAGCCCTCTTGTGGCTGGCACAGACTTGGCCCTACCTTGACCACCGAGCCGCCACGATCTACTTTGACTGCCAGGCGGCAGGCTTCGCGGTACAGGGCCGCTCCAACCTCACCTCCGGATTGATGGTAGCGGCACGGGGGCTGCACCACTTCGTCTCGGCCATCTTCGGCAAGGAGCCCTCCTACGAACATGTACATGCTCATAAAGGTGAGGCTTTCAACGAGCTCGTCGATGTGGCAGCCAAGACTGTCGCACGGCAAGGCCATGGTTTGCCACCTCCACCGGATGATGTATGCAGGATGGTGCAGAACAGTGACCTCAGCTGGCTGGCAGCAACCGTTGACCCCAAGCTCCACCGGGTGCTGCCGGTCAACACTACTTCCTTCACGTGGACACCACCAGAAGATTTCGGCCCTTCCCCGCTCACAACAAGTGAGCTCATCCCCACGAGGCCGGGGAACGATGCTGAGACTAGCGAGGAACGCACTGCTACGGCCAAACTCCTCACGCTGAACTCCCTCGGCACCAAAAACAAATCTCGTTTCTTCGAGGACCAGCTCGACCACCTCGAGGTTAACATTGCCTTCTTGCAGGAGACCAAGGCGACAGAGGGTGTCTGTCAATCGTCCCGATTTCTCCGGTTGTCGTCGGCTTCGGCAACACACTGGGGAGTGGCTGTCTGGTTTAGCAGAACTCGTGGGGCCCTCTCCTTCGGCCGATCACCCTGGAAGATCGAGCTCACGGACATCCGCACGCTGGTTAGCACACCACGACTGCTTGTCCTACTTATTTCCAAGGACAACTACAAGTTAGTTGTCATTTCCGGCCATTGCCCCCATGACACCAAGTTTGAGGAGGCGGTCTCCTTTATGGACACCCTGCACACGGCGGTCGCACCCCACAGACAAGCCCAACTTATCCTCGCTGGTTTCGACTTGAATGGCAGACCTCCCACGGGAGCTCTTGGAGTCACTGGCCCTCTTGCATGCGGGGAACCTGACCGTATTGGGCACATTGCAGTCTCCACGTTCGAGTCCCTGGGGATGTGGTTTCCTACCACGTTTCCAGAGCTCCACGTTGGTCCCTCAGAGACGTGGACACATCCACAAGGAACTCAACACCGCATTGACTTCCCCACCCTCGGCGGCACAGCTCAAATTACCGACGTGCTCACTGCGGTGTGCACGAATTTCGACAGTGGTTGCGAACGAGAAGACCATTGGCCAGTATTTCTTGACTTCTCCTGTTCTCTTCACCGGCATCGGCCTCGCGCGGCTCTACGCCGCCCAAAATTCGACCTCGCGAAGCTCATGACCCCGGAAGGTCGACGCACCATGGAGGAGGAAATGAACAAATTTGTCCATCCGGACTGGTCGTGCCACCCGGACACCCACTGCCAAAAGGTACAAGACCACCTCCTCAGCATCATGCAGAGACACTTCCCCCTCCCGGAGAACCGGCCGCGGGCGAGCTTCATCACTCAGGACACTTGGCGACTCCGCGACCACAAGCTCAGCCTGAAGCGAAGGGTTCGCCACCGCAGGCAGCTCTGGAAGGACCTTCTGCTGCGCGCTTTCTCTCAATGGCGCGATGACGTCGATTACATGGTCGCCCCCCTGGTCGCCCGCCAAGGTCTACCATGTCGCGGCAGCAGCCATCAGCTTTGCGACGGAACGCATCCGCCAACAAATCTGTGTCAGCAAGAACAAGTTCCTGGCTGACCTGGCAGGTGACCCAAGTCGCCCACCTGGGGCGATACTTCGACAAGCTAAGGCGGCCGGTGCCGGAGGAGCCAAGGCTCGCCCAGTCTCCCGGCCCCTGCCACAGCCGAGCTGAGCAGGACGCCCTTTGGGCTGGACACTTTGGGGAGCAGGAACTCGGCACCCGGATGAACACGGATGCCTTCCTCCTACAGACACAGTGCCCACCCTTCCAGGACGTCGAGCTCAACTGGAACATTGCTGACGTCCCCTCACTGATCGAAGTGGAGCAGGCGATCAGGCTTATTCCCTGTAACAAGTCCCCGGGTCTTGACAATGTCCGTGGAGAAATGCTCCGAGCCGCCCCGGCAGCGACGGCCAAAATCCTATGGCCACTCTTCGCCAAAGCAACGGCTCAGATCTGCCAGCCCATTCAGTGGCGTGGCGGCCTTCTTCACGAGGCATACAAGCGGAGTGGCTCCAGCTCCGACCCACAATCCTTTCGCTCCCTCTTCGTGTCATCCACGGTCGGCAAATGCTTTCACAAGATGTTCCGCACTCGCTCCCAGCACGACCTTGAGGGAGCTTTCCACAGTTTCCAGCTCGGAGCTCGGCGACATTGCCCGGTCACCTTACCGGCACTATACATCCTGGGCCACGCCAGACGTGGAAGAACATCGAGGAATTCCACCGCGATGCTCTACCTCGATACCGAGGCGGCATACTACCGCATTATCCGGCAACTCGCGTTTGGAGACATCACCCAGGATGACTCGATCATCCGTGTCTTCCAGCACTTCGACCTCGACCCGTCCGATTACCACGAGATGGCCCAACAGACCGTGTCTGGAGGCATGGCTGCGGAAACTTCTCTACCGGCCACGACCCGCCACAACATCAAGGACTTCCACAACAGGGCCTGGTTCATCACAGCCTACGCAGACGGATCCCAAGTCACGCAAACTGCCGCTGGATCTCGACCCGGCGAAAGCTGGGCCGACATTGTGTTCGGATGAGTCTACAGCCGCATCCTCACGGTCGTGACGGAACACGCTACAGCTGAGTCGGTCCTCGACCAAATCGCCTGCGACCCTTCAGCGGGACCCTATGCCACCAGTGGACAAGGAGGCGAGATTACTGTCGCTGACGCCACATGGGCCGACGACAGTGCTTGGCCACTGTCCGACCACGATCCAGAGGCCCTGCTCCGGAAGACCGTGCGCCTTTGCACCATCGTCATCCAGTTCTGTTGGCAACACGGCCTTCGGCCGAACCTCAAACCTGGAAAGTCGGCCATCATGCTCAAGCTCCGTGGCAAAGGTTCGCACCGGGTCAGAACCAAGTACTTCCCTCGTCAAGGTCAACAGCTTGATCTCCCCGATCTTGGGGTGACGGTGCCGATCTCCAACCAGTACAAGCACTTGGGTGGTGTTGTCGACGGCGAGCCCAAGATGACGATCGAAGCACGACGACGCACAGCCATAGCTGGCGCCTATGATTCTGGCAAAAAGCTTTTCTTTGCGAATCCACGACTTGAGCTCACCACCAGGATCGCGCTTTTCCAGGCGACCATAGACCCGGTCTACTTCAATTTGGGGTTGTGGACCGACGACGGCCCCTCGTGGACCATACTGAGCAATGGCTATACACGGCTGCTACGACGCCTTCTCGTACGACAGTGGGGTGGGGATGCCGCTTTCCACATCCCGCTCCCGGCGGTTCACCTCACGACCTCCACCCCCCCCTCGAGATCCTGCTCAAAAGGGCAAGACTGAGCCTCCTTTGCTCAATGTCGAAGGCTGCCCCTCTTCCGCTCTGGGCCATGCTACAGGATGAGCAGAGCTGGTTCCAGGCTGTACAACAGGACCTACGGTGGCTTGTCGCGGGCAGTCAGGAGCCCAGGCACTGGCCACGATGCGATGAAGCTGGATGGCCAGAATGGGTCAACATCTTTCGCACGGCTACACCCTGGTTCAAACGCCAGGTCAAGCGGCGAGTTAAGGAGGGCACCCGTGACTACTGCGCCCACCACAGGCTTGCCCTCACCCTCTGGGCCATCTACCGTCAGACCCTCGCGAGATCCAAGCCTGCCGAGCTCTCTCCCGACCCCTGGATCTGTCGGATCTGTGTCCGTGGTTTCAAGAGCAGGGCTGGGCTCGGTGCCCATTTCTTCAAGGCACACCAGAGAGTCGCTGGCCACCGAGGCCTCACAGATGGGACGATCTGCCCTGCGTGCGGCAAGGACTACCACAGCGAGAACCGACTGCATGTCCACCTCAGAGACGCCCCTCACTGCGCGGATACGCTTCGTGCTGCTGGCCACAGGGCCAAGTCAGTGAGGCCAGGCATTGGCAGCCGACATTGGCGCAAGGCTGCCCAGGAGATGGACTGTCTGGCTGTATACCATGTCCAAAGAGGATGCCCATGCTCGACACTACAGCCGAAGTCCAAGCAACGGTTGTCACCAAGGCACACTTTGACCTCTCCTGTGCCCTGCTTTGCAAGGACCTACCCAATGAAGAGGGCAAGGTCGTTGAAATCCTCGAGGGCATCCTCCACTCGTGGCCCCTCTACCAAGACGAGATCGCCCACATCGTGCACAAGGTCCTGGGGGAAATTGACGAGGTCATCCACGAGCTGCGAGAGGAGTACTGGTCTGAAGGAACCTACGACGTCGTCACCAAGGCCCTGCTCAGGATCCTCATACCACCCACAGACCTCCCACCTCGGGAGGAGACAGGTGAAGACCGAGCGGATCATTACGCGACTTTCGCTGACCGTCTCGAGGACTTCAACTGGGACGAAGTGATCCCCAATCGGGCTGAACACGTGACCCCAGACTATCCCTGCTTTGAACTGTCTGACGCTTGGGAAGCTGAGTGGAGCGCACACAGTAGCAGAATAGATGCCTCAGCCGTGGAAGCTAGATTGTGGACCTTCCTGCCCGACATCCTGCAAGCAACCTGGCTTGCAGCAGTACAGGGGCGGAGTCCCACTCTCAGGGCGCCAGACTGCTTTTGGCGAAGTCCATTAAGCAAGCCCTTCAGGCGCTACAAAGCGCCGGTTGCAATCAATTAAGCTGCGTCGATCACTGAGTGCACCCAAAGTCCAAATATATTACATACATATGTATACATATGTACACATAAAAAACCCGGTAACCGATAGTTTAGGTAACGGAGCTCTCGGGATTTTCATTCCCAGCCCTACAGGCTAAAAAAGAAGAAAAACAGCATCGTACAGCAGGGTCCTTGCCTAAAGGCGTAGAGCCTGAGGGTAAACCAAGCTGCTTCCTACGCAGACACTAAACCCTAAACGGTAAACTCTGTAAGCCTAAGGGCCTGAACCACTTGACCTTATTACCCCAATAAGCCACATGCAGAAATAAAATGTTAAACTTTCCGATTCCTACTAAACTATAAGAACCCAAAAAGTTTAAAGGTTAGGTGCTGGGGATCTAAGTAACCGTAAGCCAAATAATTACCCTCAACCCTAAACGCTACAGGCACCAAAGACAAAGCCCTGCACCGTAAACTCTGAAGCCCAGGTGCCACTTATCCCAGGCATCTCTGCGTTGGTCGTTGACCCGCGAAGCGTCGCGCACGGCCTCCAAGGCAGCAGCAGGCGTTGCGTCGGGCTGCTGCAAAGGAGAGAGGTTCACCTCGTCGGAATAGGGTTCAGGGGTTTAGGGATAGGGCTTCTTAGGGCTTTAAATTTAAACGGGCTCTTTATAAGAGCGGCTTATACGGTTTAGGGCCGTTTGGGGGATTTTGCGTTTCGGATTTTGGGTGTGTAGGCCTTCACACGAACCGCAACAGTGCTCGCCGCTAAGGCCGTCTCGAGAACGCGCTATTATCAACAGCGAGCTGCTACACCATCATGAACACTGACACAATTCAATCCGAAGCCCGGAACCCCAAAACCTTAAGTTACAGCCCAAACTCTCAAGCCCCATGGGCCCTAAACCCTAAGCTCTGAGCCCCTGAACCGCCCGCACAGACCTGAGAGCCCCAATACGGGACAATTCTGACCCAAGAAACTCAGCATACCCAGCAGGTCAACGCCTAATTCCCAGGTTTTTTCGTGGGGCTGGGCTGATTAGGGCTTCGGGGTTTGGGAGTTGGGGGCTGTGAATCCCTAAACCCTCAACCGGCTGAAGAAGCTCAGCAACCCCATGTTGCGGCACGGACTTGACGATCCTGGGGGGCTTCGAAGGTTCTGGGGGAAGTTCTGCTGCCATGTGGTCTTTCTAGAACTCTAGAGCTCCACGCGCCTTAAACTTTAAAGGCTCTAAAGTTTTCGGCTTCGGTCTAGGATTTCAAGACGTTTGCAGCATTTCAGGGCATAGTTGCTGTAGCCTCCATGAGCTGCTCTGCGCCTGAGCGCTTGGGATGTGGAGCCTGACTTTCGTGCTTCACCTAGTAGTTCGCGAGACTTGCACGTTGGGATGCTTCGGTTCAAGGCTCAACTATCCGAATTCCTGATGATGTATGATATGGTTCTGTGACGGAAGGCCGAAGCCATAACTACCAAGGACGGAACTCAATGAAACATGACCTTTGCAACCCGAACCAGCCCGAGCGAACTATATCCTGTAAGAATCCCGGACTGCCAGAACAGAACACCTCGAAATCACCTCAAACTATGATTGATCCAATGTCGGCCCCAGACAAGCAACCACCACAAGGGCCACACGAGCACACTCATTCTGCGTTTCTTTGCGTTAACTGCACAATGCTAGCCTGCAACGGGACAACACAGCGAGACATATTGCTCCAAGGGCAGAAAGCAACAACGTGTCCGCATGAAGACCCCAAAGAAAAAGGCGTCGGCACACGCACAACTCCATGCAACGCTGACATGCTACTCAAAGGCAGAAAATTACTGGCTGCAACGGGCATCCGGGTTATTCTAAGCCCGGTGACAGAACAGAAGGCAGAGACTTTTGAACAAGCGGTCCACTACCGGCATGAAACCACGCCCGCAGCATAACAAGGCATCTCGAAAAGGCAATGCCAGCAAGAGACCCAGAGGTGTTCACCACACGCGCGCCATCACGGAAGCTGGAATACACAGGAGCCAGAACGAGAAGCATTGCCACCCCGACACCGGGGCGAACACAGGGCCTGCTGCAAAGCAACATGTGTCAGAAGGACAAGTATCGTGTTGCGGTGGTGTCAATATCCAAGCAAGCAGTTGAACCCGAGAACGCAGAATCGTGCTTGTCATATCCATGTACACACAGATGCGAACGACTGAACATTTGCAGCGTCATCGTTAAGCGTGTGATGTTTGCAAACAGTCCAAGGCTCTGCAGAAAACTTTTCTAGTTGACAACTCCAAGGGCCAGCCAACAGCGCTTGCCAGTGTGCGCGGGTCCAAACAATCACTAGGAATTCGGAAAGGATTGCATTCGCTTCATGCGAACGACAGAGCCATTGCTTCTGTAAGGACGCTGCTGACAGCCATGGTGATACGTATACACTTGTGTGCAAGAACAGCATTGCTTGCTTAGGCTGAGTTCTGAACAAGGCTAAAAAGTCCATACAACTGCCGCGGATTTTTCTGTATGTGGGTCTCCAATGCTGGTTGTAAAGCATGCATTAGCAGTAGCATAACGAACAGAAGTAGCAAAAAAATGTCGGAGCCTTGTCTGTGGGACAGAAAAAATCCCTACAAAAGATGCGTCTATCCCACTTGGAACCGGTGCAGGAGCCGACATCACCCCCGCTGAAACTAAAGCTCTGCTACATGCATGGGCGAGTGCCTCGAATAAGCCATACTTGTACGAAGAATTCTGGATGACCGGGCTGTTGGGTTGTTGAGAAAAGCGCCTCTCACAAGGACACTGTGCTGCGAGATCGGATGCCGAATGTGCGAAGACTTCGCGGTCGCACTGGGTCAACCGGCTTCGCTATATTGTGGTACAGCAACCATATTTCAGATACTACCGGGGGATCTTCGTATGCATCTTCCTGAGACTGGGTTTTGAGGAAGCTGCGATCCTACATCACAGAGCTGGTGCGTTCGCACAACCCCGGAAACGAGCGCATGGCATCACGCGCAGTACAACAAGACTCTTCTGATCCAGTTGCACTCTGCGCGGCAAATGCTTGCCAGAAAAACCTACCTCATTAGACTGCCACTGCTCAGAGGTTTGGCTTAAACGATCCCGAAGGTTGGATTTTGGCCTCGGCCTCGAAAGCTGCAAGCTCTTTCTCTGCCTCGCCCAACGTCTTCCTCAAATCCGGGTCTTTGTCCAGAACCTCCTCGATGGTGCTGTCGAAAACGGCATCGGTGTCGTACTCGATGTCCTGCACGTTGTTAGCCTCCTCGAACATGCCGTAGACGCTCTCGGTGATGGTTCTTCCTCGGAGTGCGGCGTGGAAGGTCGACCAAGCATCTTGGATATGCCATGTCTTGTCCGTGACGTGGAGGTCTTCGCTGATCTTGACGGTCTTGCCGGTGGGGTTGTGCTTGATATCCAAGTACTTTCCGGCTGCGTCGTCAAAGGAGCTCAACTCGTACACTGGCGGGTCGAAGGTGAGGGCGCCCGTTTTGTGATTGATGACGACGGTGCCGGTGCTGTTCAAGAACATGTTGCACAAGACTTTCTTGAACAAGGGCTTGTAGTGCATCTTCTTGGGGAGATAGTCATCTCAATCCATGCCTGCGAGGTAGCAGCTGATCATTTCGATGCCCTTGAGGTCGTTTGCCTTGTCTGCCTTCGCCAACAGCTCCATGGACCAGTTCAGCTTCTTCTCCTTCGCATACATCAAGATGGATTCTTTGACGTTGGCCTTGCCGGCGCCCTTCACGTAAATGAGGGTCGCGTGCAACCAGTCACCAGGCAACGTGGACGCCTCTTTGAAGAACTCCTCCTTCTGGGCCATGCGCAACAAGATGAGTATCTTGATGTATCTTGTGAGGATACGAAAGGAGATGTTGATTGAGCTCGACGAGTGCCTCTTGATTTATGGCAGTTAGGTTCTCGCTGCCGGTCGAAGCAGCACTCTTCATCCGCGAAACTGCCACGTGCTTGGACTCCCCGGCCGCTTTCGTCAACCGCAAAGCCTGCTGTGTCTTTTGCTGTTGCTGAGCCTTGACCTCCTCCTTCCCCTTCTTGGAAACACGCTTGCTGGCTCCCTGAACTCGGCTGCCCGGTCCGCGTCGAGGAGCCATGAGCGCTGTTTCTCTGGCAACGGCGGTCTGTGCTGCAAGGACTTAAGTTCTAAAGAACTGCATGCCAAACTGGCTCGTAGCATCTGCGCTCACTTGGAAAGCTCCTTAAACATACTTGCTACAGAATGCCTGTTGGACGATGTGTATGCGCATGTAACAACTCAATGAATAATTGCGAGTGCTACCGACTACAACAGACTCCAGCTGGTGACGACTGCAAATTGCAGTCGAGTGGTCCTAGACTTTTCCTTGCAGGCTGAGCGGCAAGAAGCGCATAGCAACATGAGCTTGCATCCGCACCGCTAGATTTCAAACGCTAACACATCTTTCCGGTGTTTCATGCAGGCCACAGGACCTGCTTCGAAATACGCATGCAACACTGAATATTTCCAGCATGCCGACCTGCTTGACACAGTTCCCTCAAAACGCACGAAGATCCAAACATGATGCGAAATGATTCGAATCAAGAATAATACATTCGACCAACATAGCACCAACAAACTCGATCGGAGTGGGAACAGACATCCACCGGAGAAGGGGCACCGTCGAAAGCCGACCCGACCGCGAAAACAGAAAACCAGACTGCGACAACAGGACAGACCTCTTGCACGACACAGACGTAAACAATGGATGATACACATGCACTTTTGCTAGTCTGTGTGCAATTGCTCCCAACAGAGGCAGGCTGAAATGTCACAGAGCTGGACGTGCTCTGCGTTGCTTGTTGTGACAATCATTAATGACTTGGTAAGCCTGAGCAAATTTCTCTGTTCATGTAAACCAATTCAGGACATGACATCTAGGGTATTGCCGAAACAGCGATGCATCTGATGTCGCAAAGAAGACTTGCCATGTCAACACCAAACCAGCACGCGAATCTGCTGCAGGCACCAGCTCGGTTTCTTTCTGCATGGCCAGTTTGCTGTTTCATGGCATTCACATATTCTTCGAACGCTTCCTGCAGTGTTGCACGTGTGCTGCTGGATTACTCTGACTTCCACATCTACTCGAAACAGACAAGGCTCTGAACAAAACAATCATGCTTTGTCAACTGCGAATTGCTAGACTGCGTGGTGGTGCAATGGAAAGCAGTATGCTTCAGGTTCCGGAATATGACTAGTAGTCTGTATGATTTCTTACAGCAGCCTCAGTACAAGCGACTGCAATATTCGATAATGTGTTGCAATCCTGCAGATCCACACGATATCTACACCCAGAAAGCAACTACGACATCATACGAACACCTAGGCTTCAACATAAATTCGGTACGTGTGCAGCGAACGAAACACGACATGTCTTTAAAAACCCGACCCGGGGGGTGGGTGGTCATAGTTGGCTGATGAAATGATCAAGCCGCCTTTAGCATCTTCTTATGGATCCTGGGTGGGGGTGCATCACCTTAGAAAGCGAACACCCTACGCCCTAAGCTCCAACACCTAATAAACCAAAGCATCCCTGTATAAGCGAGCCAGGATTCTGTATGCAGTAATCGATGAAGGCCCGGAGTGCAGCTTTCGCTCCCAGCTCGTAGTCGGTCTCGTAGCCTTTGAGAGCACTGACTTCCCTTTTTGCCGGAAGCTCCGGATTTGTGAGGATTCGTGGGCACTAAGTTTAGGACTGGGGGAGTTCAGGGTTCAGGGCTCAACCCGGAACCACCCAACCTGAAACAATCAAAAACGGCACACCAAACCGTCAAAGGCACACAGGCCTGTCCTCCGAACAGAGGTTGGGGAGTGTGTCGGAGCACCCTTTCACCCATCGATGGCGCCCCAAACACTAAAGCCTGCACTCTCAGCATGAATCATGAATCATCGCCGTGAGCAGTAAACCCTAAACTCTCAATCAAGACAATTCTCCCTGAAGACTAAAGGGATCATGGAGCTTTGCAAAAGCTTATAAAGAAATAGCTTTATAAGGGATCAAAAAGGTTATAAAGAAGTAGCTATCGCCTGTATTGCTTCTCACCCCGCTGAGGCACGTTTAGCCTCACTTACCAAGTCCCCTTAGCCCTAAACCCCTAAACCCTACTTCTTTAAGTAAACCCAGGCCAGCCTCTGAGGACCGTCTGCTGTTCCTCAGAGAGCTCCGTGTTGACGGCCAAGAGCTTCATGAAGGCCGCCTCCTGTCTGAGGGTTTAGGGTTTCGGAAACCCAAAACCCTGAGTCGTGGGGTGGTCTATTGGAGTCCATGCTGCAGGGTGTTAGCTTTGGGGCCTGAGGTCCGAATCTTCAGCTTCTGCACAAGCATCGATGCGGTTTCATGGCGGTTCTAGAGGCCTTATGTAAGGTTAATGGGGTTACTTAAGTTTCGAGGCTTGGATTTAGGTTCGCCAGAAAAGATCTCGCCCAAGGGACATCAGATAGCCCATCTTCCGTATGATCGACAATATGCACGCTGCACGGATATGTGTGTTCACAGCTGAAAATGTCATGTAGAAACACTTACGTACGCACATACACGCACGCCACAGACACACAGACACAGACACAGACACACAGACACAGACACACACACACACACACACACACCCACACCCACACGCACACCCACACCCACACCCACACCCACACCCACACCCACACCCACACCCACACCCACACCCACACCCCCACCCACACACACACACACACACACACACACACACACACACACACACACACACACACACACACACACACACACACACACACACACACACACACACACACACACACACACACACACACACACACACACACACACATCTTTGGGCAACGTCTCCGCATGTGCGCGCGCCCACACACGAATACCCACCGACATCTCGTTTGAACCATCCTTGTAAACCCTCATCGTATGACGGAATGCATCCCGCTACTGTACAGATGCACTATATGAATGCACATGGTCCTAATTAAGTGGTTTGAATTGCTATTATGATACCCACTCAACTAAGCAATTTCTCTCAATCAAACGGCTGGTGCCTCAACGGCCTGCTTTCGCTTCGCCTCCACCTGCGGCGGTTTGCGCATCGACTTGGTCGAACTGTCAAACAGATCCATTGTGCATGAAGACGTCCAGAGCTTCATACCATGGACCTAGACTTGTCGACATTGAGGTTCATAAGTTTGATGCTGAAGGACTTGATGGGCTTGGGGGAAAAGCGATTGCCCAACGCCAGCGTCGTCTTGCTATAGGTCAGACTCGCAGCCGATGGTGCCTGGGTTTATTCAAACCAAGTGAACTTATCCAGCCTCGTTTCTAGCCTGAACCTACCAGGTCCAGGAGATCCCAAACACTGAGTTTGCATTCAAAGTGTAGTGCAAAAGCGCTTTCGGGGGAATCCTTGGAGACCAGCTTGTTTGTGCGAACGTCTGCGGTTCACGGCAACAATTCATGCAACAGTTGAGGATGCGTTGGACGAGGTCGCAGTCAAAATCATCATCATCATCATCATCACCATCATCATGACCACTCGACAGAACCCTTCCCCTTTCGAGAACAGCACCAAAGCAGCAGCAGGAGTAGCAGTAGCAGTAGCACTGACAGCACTAGCACCAGCAGACGGAGCAGCACTGGTCAGGAGCAGCAGCAGCAGCAGGAGTAGTAGTGGTGGTGGTGGTGGTGGTGGTGGTGGTAGTCGCAGCAGCACCGGTAGTAGTACACTGCTGCTAGAAGTACTCGCCGTCGTAGGCAATGTTCTTTTTCTTACCAGCATTATGCTTGCTGTAAATAGTCGTAGCTGCAATTGTAGTAGAAAGAGTCGTAGAAATCCCAAACCATCGAACCAGTGGCCTGGCGCTTCTCCAATACCTCTCGGCCCTCTGTATTCATGTACTCCTGCGTTCCATGCACGGGCTTTTCGGGATGTTTGGATCCGGGAGTGTCAGTGTTTGAGGTCCTAGGGGTTCTGTGGCATTCGACTCCGTTGAGTATCTCTGAGAACAACCAACCTTTTCTTATGTCGATCCACCCTGTGTCTCCGCATCGTAAAATCCTGCAGGAAGGAGTTCACGTCCAGGCCATTCCACGCGCTCTTGTTTTGGGCGAGGTAAGCCTGCACCATGCAGGGTTTAGGGTTTAGGGTTTATGGTCTGCACCATGCAGGTGGTTGAAAGCATGCATGTTTTTGGGTGCCGAGATCAGAACAACATAATTCGTAATTATTGCCCAGGAGTAAAGGGCATCAAATGACAATCAGTAGTGCTACACACATCTAAACAAATCATAGGCGATCATCGTCGAACGACAGCTTACAATTTGCAACTACGATTCTGACAAGCATTCAGAGGTCAAGGTTCCAGCGGTTGAGATGAACAGTACAGTTTGGAGTCAAGAGAGTCAGGATGGTCATGAGGGCTTTGGGCTGCTCGAACCTGACAGTATCAGGGCTCTCAATCCTGAAGGGTAGAACCTGTTGTCGGAAAGCAACCATGAAACACCAAGGCGAAGGTATTGCGGCAAAAAGTTAGGCCGTGAGCTTTCCGACCCTCTGAAGCTTTCGAAAACCTCCACCAAACCCTGCACAACTCATTGGTGCCCTATCAACAACCTGTAGAAATGCATGAAATAAGAAGTATGGACAAACACAACATATATACCAAATCCTATAAAATACACGGAAGCCGGCATGCCCCATGCCTCGAAGGACTGCTTGTTGAAGCCCAGGCTCACAAGCTGCTGGAGAACGGTCCCAGTGGCGAGCCTTGAAGGTTTTTGGGTTTAGCTGTTCAGGGGGTTTAGGGGGTATAGGACTGTAGGGTTTTGGGGTTTAGGGTTCGGGGTTTGAGGTTCAGGGATTTTCGGGTGTTGGGCGGCTTTCGAGGTCTAGGGCTTATAGTGCTGAATGGCAGATACGCCTTCTATGACGGTCTTGTACGGAGGATGTAGGGCTGGGAGTATGGTTGAGGTGTGACTTAGGGTTTAGGGTTTTAGGGTTTAGGGTTTAGGTTTAGGATTAAGGGTTTGGGTTTGAGGTGTGAGTTAGCCGGCTGGGGGCTCGTCTGACCTTTAGACATCTGAAGGCTGAAGGGGTTTGATGGTAGCAGCTGTCTGGCTTGGTGGGCCGTTCGGCGTGACTTGAAGGATCGTTTTTGAAGTGAATGTTGGACAATTCCCCGAATCTGACAATTCCAACAAGCCCTAATTACCTATACATGAGGCCCTGTCGTTTTCCTTCATCGCCGAGGATCGTGTGGGAGCCACCTCCGCAGCGACACAGGATCGCATCCCCTTCCTGGGCTCAGCTCAGGTGTTCAAATATGTGGGTTCATTCAGGGCATATCTTGCGATTCGCAATTTAACCGACAGCGACCCAAAAAGGCACATGCTGTTGATGCTATTGGTCTTGGAGGAGAAAGCGTTGCCCTCATTTTGCTTGAAACCACACCTAGAGGAACGACCTCTCCGCGGTAAGCTTACACAGCCATCGTTCTCGCCCATGAAACCCCTGCGAGACTGCCCCACCCTGAACTTGGCACTGGGATGGGGCCTGCATCAGTAGAATGAGGAGTAGGGTTTTGGAGTCTCCATTGTAGTACCTTTTTTCGTTAAACCACTTCTTTAGTTACGATCCTACAAGGTAACCCAACAAAGGAAGGACAATGGAGACTATGGGTACGTAGCCATCGCACTCAGGCCGCGCTTGGTCCTGCCAATACCATCTCAACCCAAAAACAAAGGCTCTGCAGCCTCAGTAAGGGGCCTTAATAGATAGAATAGGGTTTCGGGGTATAGTAGACTATAGTTGCAATAAGGACCCTGCACAAAATTATGCTTGTTATTAACGCCCCGTCAGTTCACCCGGCACCACCTCCAACAGGAACTACGATAAAGGCGAAACTCAAATCCGGCAGCGCTGTGTATCTCCAAGCTCTCCTACACCCTCAACCCTAAACCCCTAAACCCCTAAACTCGAAACCCTAAACCCTAAACCCCTTAACCCTAAGCCGTCAACCCTAAACCCCCTAAACCCCTTAACCCTAAGCCCTCAACCCTAAACCCCCTAAACCCCTGAACCCCTAAACCCTAAACCCTTAAACCCTAAACCCTAAACCCCTAAACCGTAAACTCTAAACCCTTAAACCCTAAACCCCTAAACCGTAAACCCTAAACCCTTCAACCCTAAACTTCTAAACCCCTAAACCCCCTAAACCCTAAACCCCAGGCCCCTAAACCCCTAAACCCCTTAACCCCTAAACCCTAAACAGTCTCACGGCCCGGGCTAGGAGCAGGATCCTGAGCTCCTGCACTCTTGAATCTAAACCCTGAGCCGTAAACCCTCTACTTGGAGGGTCTTTAGGGGACTTAGTAAGGGCTCCCTTAAAGGGGATTCTAAGGTTTCCTTAAAAGGGCTCTATAAGGGTACTATGGGGTTTAGGGACTTAGTAAGTAGGTAGTAAGGAGACTTCTAAGTACCCTGAAAGGGACCCTAATTGGGGTTATGGTACTTATAAGTCCCTAAAATAACCAGTTACTAAGTCCCCCGACCCTCCAAGTACCCATAGGCCCCAAAGTAGTTCCTTGTTGGGATTACCTTATCGGATTCTATATATGAACCCCAAAAAGGAACTACTTTGGGGCCTTTGGGTAAACCATACACCCCGAACCTGAAGCCTTCCTATAGTCTCCATTGCAGTTCCTCTTTTTGGTTTAACCAATTTTATATATTAAGGATCCCATAACGTATCCCCAAAAACGAACTACAATGGAGACGAGGTTAAACCTAAAGGCCACAAACCCAAAGCACCAAACCTTAAACCCTCACCCTACTAAGCCCCAAAGGGCGGCAAGAGTCCTGCGCATTGACATACCATCCTCGCTGCGCCGGACAGTCGAGCTCCGCTAAGGACTTCTGCAGAATCACCGCCGGATCCTCCCCGTTTATATAGGGGCCTTGTGAAGGGTACACCCCCTTATGCAGTTATAGAGGGAGTAGAAGGAAATCGTTCTTCTTGTGTTTACACGTAGTTGCTGTTATGATTGTCATACCATGAGTAGTCGTGTTCATGACTATTGTCTATGCAAGTCTCAATATGAAGGGCATTGATTCGGGGTTCTAGGTCTTGAGCTAGGGGCTCGGGTTACGGTTTTAGGCTTCAGGGCCTCTGGATCTTTTCTTATTCTAAGTGTGCTGGATCTTGCACCCAGGCTGCTATAATTCAACTTGGAACACTGATCTATGAAGTACTTGGGTGCAGGGCGTCTCGCTGATGGCAGGCAGTAGTCGTGCTGAAATAGCCACAACAACTGCTACAAATGATGCTGCTGTTGCCGATGCTACTCCTCCTCACCACTGCTGCTACAGCTGCTGCACCTGCTACTGCTGCTGCTGCTGCTCCTGGCCCTCCTCCTCCTGCTACTACTACACTATGACAGACTACTGGTTCTGGTCCGAGCATATATCATCGCAGCTTCAAGTGCGAGCCATAAACGAGACCCGACCTGACGTGCCACAACACAAACACTCACGCCAGCAAGCACGGCAATACGTAACTGCCTCTATAGCGAGCTGCATCATCTACGGTTGAACACATGAGAATGTGTGTAGGGGGGGAAGTCGCAAAACGATCGGTCTCGACTAAAGCCTAGCAAGACCCTCAGAAACATCCTTCAACCCTATACCCTAAACCGTACATTGTACCCTAAACCCTGGATTCTAAACCCTAAACCCTACACCGGATTGCGGAAGCGACAGCTTGTGGTGAGCCTCCGGGGGCGGCTTGCGCTTCACCTCGAGGTCCCGGGAAGCCAGGGCTTTGAAAATCATCTGTGGCCTCGGTTCGAGGCTTCGGGTTTAGTTAAGATTCCCTTAAGGATGCCATTAAGGGAGGATCTAGGGAAGGGCTTTGGGTTTAGGGTAGGTTTCCTTGGGCTTGGGTTTCAGGGTTTGGGTCTAGGTCGTAGGTTCTAGGGCTTGGTGATTGAGGGTTTCTTCCTGATTTCAATGATCTTGTTACAACTACAACTACAACCCTAAACCCTAAACCGCAGCGGCGTCTGAAGAGGCGAACTGTTGCCGAAAGACCCCGCTACAACTTCGGCTTCCCTGGCTTTGGTCATATTCTAGGATTTCTAGGGTTTAGGGTTTAGGGGTTCCAGCTTTCTGGTATGAGAGTTGATTGATAGGGTTTTAAGTCAGGTTGTGGGTCTGGGGTTTAGGTCATGGCTGCGCGACTCTCGGAAAGAGTGCGCTCGAGGGTGTGTCCCGACGGTTCTGTGCTGCACTTCCAGTACATAAGCTTGCATGGTACCTCTTCGTGTATCAGCTGCACGTAATAATACTACGATTGCATGCACCAGGCCCTCACTGTTCTACAATACAATGAGCAAGCCCCGAATATGTGGCCAACCTCGACATATCTCGGTCACGGCACTCGTCCACGAGCACCTCCAGGACCACCGGCTGGGGATGAAGAGGCGGCGGAGGAATCATGACCTGAGTGTTGGGTTCCGCGGTCTTGGGCGTCAATGCTCCGGATGGCGGGGGGGCTGTGACGACTGCTCCGAGCTGATGCGACATGCGCCTTGCAAGGCTCAGCAGTGTGTGGAGTGGGAGCACCTGATTGAAAGCCTTCCAGAGCTTCCAGCCAACCGAGTAAGCTTCTCCAAACCCTAAGCCCTGAACTCCGGAACCTGAACCTTAATAACTGCTCTCTAACCCTATACCCTGAACCGTTACATCCAAAACCGTGATGCCGGGTGTCGTTGCCAATCCTCCATAGGAGTCCTCTTCCAGGCCAGTGCCGCGTCCAGAGCTTCGAGTGGAGCAGCCTCGACTATCCCAATGATTCTATGAGGCTTTCGGGTTTCCCGTCTCTGTGCGATGGTCATGGCTATGATGGTGAATGGCAAATGGCGTTGCTCCTGACAATGCCGGCGATGATGATGGTGGTGCTCGCATTGTGACGATGGTAACAATGGTACGATTGCAGCGAACGCGGTGGCGATGTTCATAGCGAGAGCTGCGGTGTTGTCAAACCACTGAAGATGCAAATGCTGGTGATGGCGGCAACACGGCAAAACGGTCATGGCGGCATCAGTGGTGCTGGGGATGAAGGAGAAGATCAACATACTCATCATTTTTGCTGTCCATGCATATGACACCAGGCAAAGTGAAAGACGCAGAGAGAGACAGAGAGAGGAGCGCCAAACAACAATACTCGCCCCGCCCTTTTTTGAATCCTAAAGACCGACACTTGCTATCTTCAAGCCCAGCACACAGCCAACCCACACAGACAGATACAACTTCTGGAGCCCGGAACATGTGGTTTCTGGTAATCAACAGGAACCCAGTAGGGATTTGCTTGCCCGGCGGCGTATGCTGCGATGCCTCGGCATCCTGGCTTCGGCAACAAGCATGCGGGATATATTGCAATCATGGATCTAACTTTTCGGGTTCTCCCTTAATTATTCAACCTACAAACACCCTGAAAGCACGCAGTATAGAAAGACTCTATTAGTATAAGAGCAACATTTTACGAATTAAAAGCATGAGCCCCGTCGGGGCCTTGGTCGAGGCGACGAGGCCTCGCCCTTGGCCCTGCAACTCGGCTGCGCAGGCGGCACACCACATGCCGTTGACCGTGTTCCTTGGAGTTTAGGGTTTAGGGTTTTGAGTTCCGTGTGGTAGGGTTCTGTAAGGGATTTTAGGGTGGCATTCGACGGTTTCGACTGGATTAGTAGGGCTTCGGGTTCTCTCAGATTAAACCCTGAACCCCAAACTCCTAAACCTTACGCAGGGGTTCTAGATGGGCACCGCAAGGGTTCTACAGCGCTTCAGGTTTAGGGTTGAAGGCCTTAGGGATTTGGGGCTCAAAGTTCCTCCAATGCCAAGGGGTCCTGTAAGGGTTCTTTCAAAGGCTCCTCTAAGGAATGCAAAAGGGGCTCTAGAGGGCTTCTAATACGGGGTTCAGGGTTTGAGGGCTTAAGGTTCAAGGCTTCACAGCTAGCAGGCTTCAGGGTTCACCTGGGGGCTCATCATACCCCACCCCTTTTTTCAGATACCTAGTTGTATGGTTAGGATCTGTTATACAGAAAAGTAGATACGCGAAAAAGGGGTAGGGTATGAGCCTACAGGCAGGGTGTAAGTAAGTTATCATGGCTTTAGACTAAGGGCTCAGGGCTTGGAGTATTGGCCTTGGGGTTTAGGGTTGTTTTTTTGTCAAGGGGCTTCAAACGCTTCAGCATTTAAGGGCATTGTCGCATAGTTCACGCTCGTGGGTGCGACAATTTGAGGCTTGATTCCTTGTAGGGTGCAGGGGGGGGGGGGGGGTAATTGGCATTGGTGGAAGGCAGGACAAAAGCAGGACCGTGTGCAAAAGCAGGTGCGACTGAGTGGAGAGAGAGAGAGAGAGAGAGAGAGAGAGAGAGAGAGAGAGCGAGAGGATAACAGGGAGAGTGACCTTTCTAAATCACAGTGTGTAGCATTTTACAGCCTTGTCCTGATATATGTTTGCTGGTGCATATTTTTGAGATATTGAGCCACGGCGTAGTGTTCAGAACACGGAGCTTCAAGTCTTTCTTCTCCCACTGGGGGTAAAGGCCTAAGGGTCTGGCCTCATAGGGTTTTCATACACACTGAACCCTTCAACCTAAACACGTTCTTCAAGGTTTCAGCCAGTCTTCTTCAAGGCCTAGGTGCCCATTCTGTACTGTGTAAGTACATTGTGTAAGTACATGAACCCTTGCGGCTTCTCAAGTGTCAGACCCTCGAAAACTCATGAGCCACAAACAGCAGGGCTTAGGGAGTTTAGGGTTTTGGGGTTTAGGGCTGAGCTACAACCCGCCCTGAACCTGCAACCCCAAAGCCCTGAACCTGTCACTGTCAGACTGCAGCTGGCAGGCACGGGGGGCCCTCTATGTCGGTCGGCCGGGTGCTTCAGCGGCGCCGGGCAACAGCGGTCAGGGTCCTTGGATTCGATGTCTTATATAAGATGTAATACACGGGGGTACTATTAGACTGTATAAGTGAAATCAGTACAAGAAATCTTGCTCGAAGGATTTTTTGAGGGCTGGATGCTTAAGAGGCGTGACTGGCTCTCTTTCAGGGCTTGTTCAACAATGCTACAATTGAAAGCATCCAAGCCTAACCCTGACCGACACAAACTCGACAGTAACCCCGATAATGATACATTCGCAACCCATACGAATAACCCACGAAGTCTCCCCATGGACCCTAAGCCCTCAACACAACACATAGTGGTATAGTAGTACTGATAATGATAAGTGGTAGCAAGAAAAAGACCTATAATAACCGTACTAACAAAAATTGTTATCATTGTGATAATACTAATGAATAGCACAAAAATAATAAGAATAATACGAACAATACTAATAATAACAGTAGTTTTCACAGAGCTCTGACAGAATCCTGCTATAATGGTGACCACAATAGTAATAACAACAATAATAACACTAAAAAAAATATTAATAATAATCACAATAGAGCTCTGACTAGCAATACTAGCACGAAATATCATAAGAACAATCATCACGATACTAATAATACTAGTAACAATATAATAATCATACTAATAACAATAATAACAATAAGAGCAATAATTAAAAGTAGAGCTCTGACAGAATATCTGCCACGGAGGCTCCCAAGATCCCTGGACGCAATGGACCTCAAAGGCGCCGAGCCTGCAGCAGAAACCCAGCATCTGAGGGGTTCTTAGGGGGGTTTTTAGGGTTCGGGGGTTTCTAGGGGGTTTTAGGGCTTAGGCGTTTTAGGTTTATAGGGGTTCGGGGGTTTTTAGGGGGTTTTAGGGCTTAGGGGTTTTAGGTTTATAGGGGTTCGGGGGCTTTGGGGGTTAAGGGTTGAGACCTACGTAACTTCAAAAACTCCTTATACACAAACGCAGGCCCCAGGATCGACCCTTCTGTAAGGGTTTGGGGGGTTTGGGGGTTAGGGGTTTGGGCGGTTTGGGGGGGTTTAGGGTTTGGGGGTTGTAGGGGTTTAGGGGTTTAAGGGATTTGGGTTTAAGGGGTTTACGGGTTTGGCTTGAGGGTTTAGGGTTTAGGGGGTTAGGGGTTTAAGAGGTTTAGGTCCAGGATTCAGGCGTTAGGATTTGGGGTTCTAGGGCCTTTCTAACGGTTGAAAACAGGCGCCTCCATGGCTTTGGGGGTCGTGTAGCTACAGTGAGGAGCCGCAAGGATTCAAACATTGAAACCGGTACTTCTTTAGGCTTCCATGCTCACTGCTTACCGTTTGCTTTTACGGCATTATAGTGTAGAGGAGTCATTCTAGGGAGGACTATTTGCAGGCTTATGCTAAGATGGTCACAGGCTTAGTCGCGGGGGTTGCTATCCGATATTATTCTGGTGTTCGTTGATAATTGCCCTTACAAGGGCTGCAATAAGTGAAGAAGGCTGAATAAGGGTTGCTACAGAATCATCATAGAGGCTTGGGGTATAATATATGCTATAGTCAAGGTCAGAATGTGACAATTTGCGAGCTGTGACTCCGAAGTCCTGAACCCTCGAGGCCCCTAGACCCGCAACCCTGAACGCTACATCCTATACCCTGAGCCCTGAAGGCCCTTTTTACTGGGCTTTTTAAGTAACCAGGGAGAAAAAAGTATAAACTTTAATTTCATAAGGGTTCCTTTAAGAAAAAAAGTATTAAAGTATGGTACTCCAAAGCCCAGTTTAAAAGAGGCTACCTGAGGTTGTGGGTTCCAAGGCTTCTAAAAAGTCTCGGAAACGAACAGGATCGAACAGGGTCTTGAGGGGGATCGGGATATCATATGGGTAGTTGTCACAATTATGGTCCTTTTTTGGGTCCATATAATAAAACGGCACCTATCTAATATTTAGGGTACCCAAAGAGGGACCTTAATTTTGACGACTACCCATATCATGTTTCAGTCACTATGGTCTGGGTCAAACGGCGACATTGAAAATATTTTCAGGCCCCCTGCCGATATTCGAACTTCCGGGTTGGTCTCAGCTTGCCACATCCTAAGCCCTGGGCAGGACAGTTTAGTATAATTTCTGAGCCAAGTACGGCTTATTGTGACTTGGTGATTCTGGTTTTGGCTGCCGCTTCGCTGGGTCCTTGGTTTCCACTGTTGTTGCTGCTCTGTCGTGGCTGCATGTACTCCTGCTGCTGGCATACTAACAGGATACCCAACGCGTTGCGATTCTGCAATTACTGCTGCTGGATCTGTTTTGGCTACTCTGGTATGACTACTGACACAACGCGACAATGCTCGTAAACACTACTCCAACATGCTCCCTATATCTCTCCCTGTCGGCTACGGTGCCACTGTGTCTTCATCCTGCTTCTGTTGAAGCGATGGTATAGCACTTCGACCTGTGATTTCCGTCCCTGCGCTGGAACCGAAACAAAGAAGATGGCTCATCACCCAACATAAAGATCACGCCTAAACCCAAACCACTCTGAGAAGCTCAACGAAACCAAAGCCCCGAAATCCTAAACCTTGAACCCTAAGCCCTAAACCCCAAAAGCACCAAGCCCTCAACCTCACAAAACAAAGCCCTAAACCACAAAAGCCCTAAACCCCAGAAGCCCTCAGCCCTAAGCCACAAAACCCTAAACCAGGAAACTGACTTCAAGAGATGCCCCGATAAATCGAGATCGAACCTGCTCGGCACGGCCAAAGTATGCGAAGTGTTGGAAGCCGCCAAACCGGCCTGCATCCGGTCAAATCTGGGAGTTTCCGAAAATTTGGGGTACCTTCTTTTGGGGTCCCTTTGATAAGGATCCTATCTATATTCAAGTCCCCTGTATTCGGAAACTCCCATCTGGGTTTAGGGTTAGCGCTTTTGGCGGCTTTTGCGGTTAGTTTGGGGTGTTCAAGGGTGGGTATAGATTTCAGGGTTTGGGGTTAGGATGCTGAGGTCCCAACATTACCTACAGGGGCTCTCCTGGATAGCGATAGAATGAGGTTTGGGGCTCTGCTAGATGTTCAATTCTACTTCTATTCGGAATTCTGAGGAACAGTATAGTCGTAGTAGAGTATTCATGCCGCGTGAGTATCCCGTAAGAAAACTCTCAACCTGGCTACGTAACTCTCAGCCCGTGTGCACTGGGAACTGCTGAGTCCACATGCAGATCCTGCCTTCCTGACGAGCTTTTGCGCATGTCAGGCACCCCAAATCGAGCAGTCCGGGGTCTAGACAAAGCTTGACTCACCGGGCACAAGTCCAAAGCTACGCTTACAAGGCTGAAAGTGCGCGGCGGAAGGGAGAAACATATGCACTGAATAATCTGAGTGCTTCCACGCCCTGAAGTTTCTCTGAACATCAACGCCTTCGAGTTGAACTTTGTCTCGCGAGGCAGGACTCAAGCAGCTGCAAGAGATGCTAAAGCTTGGGCCCCAAGTGGTGGGCTTCTGAAATTTTGGCCAGCACTCGCCCCACGAGTCTTGACAGCTGATATGGTTGATCTCTCCAAAGGAAACAGCTGGCAAACCCTAAACCCTGAACCTTAAACCCCAATCCCTAAACCCTAAACCCTAAACCGTGGCTCTGAACCTTAAACCCCTAAACCCTAAACCCTAAACCCCAAACCTCGAACCCTAAACCCCAAACTCCAAGGAGAAACTTGGCCTTCCGCTCCACCTCGGAGTAGCGATCGAAGATGCCCTGACCCCTTGGCATTCGAGGGCATAGTTTAGGGTGTGTGTGTGTGTATTTATATATATATATATATAGATATAAGGTTTAGTTTTTTGGGGGCTTAGGGTTTATAAGGTAAGTTTAGGGTCCACGTATAGGGTTTAGGGTTTCGGGTTTAGGGTGTCGGGTTCAGGAGACTCGAGTTTGCCAAGGAGGGTTTAGCTCAGAACTTGTGTCAGGAAACGCTGAGCTTGGGCTGCTAATGCCCCTGATGCAGCTGGGCCTTGGGTTTCGGGCTTATGGGGATATAAATAATAGCATTAATAGTATTATTACCAATACTATGAATTACTATCAGTATTAGTTACTAGTATTAGTATTCGTATTAGTATTAATAGGGTTCAGGGCTTATAAGCCCCTCGGGGAAAGGCCGATCAAGATAGAGCCAAACCTCGGTGGAGGCGACCCGCTGTTTCTGGCATTGCATCCAGAAATATGTGCCATCTCGTGCAACGTCTGCCTCTGCTTATAGGGATTTGGGCTTTATAGTGGTTTAGGGCTGAGGTTGCGCTGTACCCGCAACCCTGAACCTATCAAGGGGTGGCAGCGCTGGCTCTTGTGGCTTCTCCTTGCGAATGGCCTGCAACATGGCAGACCAAAAGGCGAGGCCTCTCTAGATCGTACACACAGTGTCTCAACTAATAATGATAATAATATGTTCAGGTTTTGGATGTACTTGCGCCCATCTTATATTTCGGTGTCCTATCACCTCCTATTGACGCTTGGGGTTTGGATCTCATTATGCCCACTAGAGTTTGGTAGTTTTGATGTCATAGCACGTCTAAAGGTACCTCCATCGCATCCTTTCGGGTTTGGGTCTATACCATATCTCAATCAGAATTGTCAGACTCTGGGGCCGAAGAGATCTTTTCTTTTAGATTTTTTTTGGTGGTCGGAGAGGGGGGGATTGCATATGGAGCACCTTCAATCCTATATTATGGTTGAGAAAAGGAAGCCTGTAAACTTGTTCAACAAGTTCTGCTTTGAGTTTAAGATAAAATACTTCCAATTGGGTGTTGATTTTGTGTTTTAGGCTATTATGTGAAGGGCAAATGAATATCATTGAAGATTTGCCGCCCGTCATCTCCTGGGAACATTGGGTTCTCAACCATCTTTTTCTGTAGGGATTCACGGCTTTCCATGACCCAGCAGCAACGTCTATGGATGCAGGCTTATCAACCGTCATATTTTCACTTACAGCTGGCGGATGTATGATATGATGCCTCTTATCTTCTTTGGAGGCTTCGGGTTTTACAAACCAACCTATAGAAGAGAGTTTTGGGTTATGGAAACCTAATCACCGTCTTGGAGCTTGGCCGCATTCAAGATTTATTGAAGTTTAACGGATGTATTCTTCTTTATTAGCCCTTTTTGGCTGGAAACCTTAACTGCATCGTGAATCATATCTCATCAGAATCTATCATAGGCTATCAAATCATTTTGTTGGGAGTTGAACGTCCATCATCTGTCATCATAGTGTCGGGATAGTTTGGAACCGGTTGCACCAGTTCGTGTCTATGAACTGAAGCCCGTTATGCTCTTTGGGAATTTTGGTTTGTTGCTCAACCTACACAATTTTGAGTCTTTCAGAAGCCAGTCATGGTTGTATTTGCCGGGTTAGTATTCATCATCTCTTTCACAGGTACTGAGTCCGACATCTGATACAAACTATAAGGGTTTGGGCTTCTCGCGACATAATCCCTGCTTCCTACTTCTAAGAATACAAACTTTAAATTTCTACATCACTTTCTCGGATTAGGGCTCAGGGTTCTTAGGAACCCGTCTTCCGCATCTCCACAAACCGAATCATCCAAGCTCAAGGATGAAGGTATCCTTCTTGGCGATGCCTTGTTAGAGCAGGATTTATGGGTACAGGCTTATCCCTCAGAGTTTCGGAGACGGATCACCCATCATCTTCCTTTCTGAGAAGTGGATTGTATATCTCATGCGAATGGATGGGTCTGTCACCTATCATTTATGTACTGGTAGGGTCTGTGCATTATTGGAATGCCCGTCATCAGTATTTGGAAATAAACAACCTGATTGCTTCTCCTGAAAACCATGATAAATACGCTCTAAATGCGAGTGTTTGCATCGAAACACACGACCCGTGCAAGGGGCAAAGGGGGACCCTTTGCAAATATTTCAACCTCATGCCCCACATGAACCTGTATATTTCTGCACATGTCTATCTGGTGACTTACGTGTCAACATAGTATTGCGCGAATATAATGACAATAGTAGTCCCGCGGTATAGCTATGCTTTCGGGAGTGGCAGAATCATCTTTCAGTCCGGGATGCCCATCCTTTCCTTTTTGACGGATTGGGTCGTCTTCTCCACGCTATATTTAGTCTTAAAGACTGCGCGAGTGCTTGTCATCAGTTCTGAGAATCAAAATTTCATATTCTGAGGATCCCCTTCGCTAAACACACACAAAGAAACGAATGTTCCGGTTGAACACGCCAACCCTGGAAGACATGAAAACAGTCCATCCCCAAACGTATGTATGTATTTGGTGGTTAGCATGAAAGTATTTCTGCGCGCTGACCTTATCATCGCCTATGCTTTGCTTCATAGTTCGTGAACGCACAATACTGTAACGAAGATATACATATACTTTCAAGCCATCATCCACCGTTTTTACATATGTATCAGAATCAATGCCTATGACTGCATCTGAACAGACAGGCCTGAAGTTCATAGAAATAATTTAAGCAGGTATGCACATATGTCATCCATCTATGCATACATATATGTATGTATATATGCATATAAGTATGTCTGTATATATGAATGCGTGTGTGTATGTATGTAGGTACACCGTTTTTCTGTGGATGCATATGCACATGTGAAAATAATTGTGTATGTATATGTATGTATCTATGTATGTATGTGTGTACATATATGTGTGTATTTATGCACATGTATATATTTATGTATATGTTCTTGGGATGCCACATCATACCATATATACACATGGAGACACAAGCATTGTGATGTGATGCATTCACATAGTTATATATAAATACTTTGACATACACATATTAGCATATATACATAGGCTGGGTATGTGAGGGGATATACGAATGTCATATGATATGTAGAAGGACAACCTTGATTTGATAAGTTTGCTAGGTTTGCGAATTGCGAATGACAAGGAACAGGCCTTGCGCGCAGTGTCCTTCTCTGTCTTGGATCTTGCCCAAATCCGAAACCTAAAAGATTCGCGCGCTTGAAATTTTCGGGAACGCACAAGTCAGAAGCCCTTCCGGGCTGGGTCCAAGCTTAAGGGCTCCGGCTCCCTGGCCTAGAGCGGGGAGGAGGGGGGGAAGGCAGCGAGGCAAAAAACAAATGAATAAATAATAATAACATGTTTTTTTGTTTTGGCCTCCCCCCCCTCCCACGTTCCCAAAAGCCATAGGCAAGAGCACAATGGGTGGAAGGCAGGCCTTTCTTCCCGTATAAGCTCCACGTTCTTTCTTTATCAGATACCGTTCGGGCCCGTTCTTTTTAATTGTGATATCTTTTTAAGACAACACTTACAATTAGGTTTTTTACGAATACGACAAAACCGGGCCCTGAGGGTGACGCTTTCTGTAAGAATATTGATAATAGTAGCAGTAATAAGAATACTAATAATACTGTATAGTAAAACCGTCAAAGTCTCCGGGACTTTGGCTGACGCAGGCAACAGGGCCCATCAAAGGAATGCAGGAGGAGTGCACGATGGGATCGTTCGACCAACCGGCGCTGCTACTTCTAAGGCCGGTCACATGCTTCAAGGATCAAGGCCCCAGACAAAAAGACATCCCACGACCCTGAACTCTAAAGCAAAGACCTAGACCCGAAGCCCTGAGCTATTGACGGCCAACCCCTGCAGTAACCCGAACGCAAGAAGGCTTAACAGAAAAAACGACACCCCAAATCTTGACCCTCAACCTTCCAGAAGTTAAAATGACAGTCGTGCCTGCTGTAACTGTACCCCGTCCAGCCCTTGATCGATTAACCTCAACTCAAGGGAGAAAAGGAGGGACCCTTAATGGGGACCCCTACCCTATAATGAACTATATAATGGGTATATACTAGCTATATTAAGGGTAACCTAGGGGTCCTTATTAAGGGTCCCTCCTTTTACCCTTGGATCAACTTGCCCTAAACCCTAAACTCTTGTAGCTTCAGTCGCTGCTTGAATTCATCAGGAGTTTGGAAGTGGGTGACCATCACCTGCTTCTTGCTCAGGAAGTCCTGGCTGTCCATTTTAGAGTTTCCGGCAAGACTTTCAGATCTCTCATGATGCATGTCGTTTTTATTCTCGGGTCCTGCAACTTGTTGGCCGTCGATTTGTACTTCCCCCCATCGTGGGCGGGCAGGTACCTGAAAAACACGCACGATGCCCATCCGAAACCAACAGCAACTCTTTTTTTCTGCCGGCGCTACACCATTCTACAGGAACCAATTTGCTAACCTACGCCCCCAATCTCGAGTAGGTATATAAGCACGCACATCCAACAGACTGTGCTAAAGTTTGAAGAATTCGTAGGCTTTCGGGAGTCCTCTCTATGGAGCTCAATTTTGCAGGCGCCGCGGGCATGGCAAGCCCGAATCTCCAGTTTCTGGCAGGATGATGCAACACGCATGACCCCACTGTGACGATTCGGTTTGGTCTTGGGAATTATCGAAACAAAATCAGAGCCCATTTAAGCTCCAAGGACAGAACAAACTTTCAACAGCGGCAAGGTGCTGACTGGCACCCCAGAGCATCTCGATGACCACCACACCGCGGCAGTCCTGCATGTAGTCCCCAAGCCCGAACCATCACTAACACCATACAATAATCTCAAACGAGGATGGTTTTGGACATATTTGATCCTTCGAAAGATGAGTCGAGAAACATTCGATCCGTCGAAAGGTGAACCGAATCTTCATGAACTCCGTAGCCATTCACGGCAACCGAAATAACTTGATGCGCGAGCGACACCCTGCGATGATGTTGAACAACACGAACTAACTATGCGGGCTTCCATCCCGAAGCCCTCAAGCCTCCCGCTAAACCCTAAACCTCAAACCCTAAACCCAGACTGTGCCTTGCTGAGACTCAGCTGATCCCCTGCCAGCTGCACGACCTTCTCGCGAATGGCGTCGGGAACCAGCTCTTTGACCTGGAAGTCCGGTTTAAGCTCTAGGGTTTGGGACTGAGGTTTAGGTTTGAGGGTTTAGGGTCGAGGGATGGAGGAGAGACAGAAATCAAAGGCATCGAAATGCGACTCCACATCTATCGAAGCATTTTCCAAGGCGTAGCTTCAAAAGTGTTGAACTTTCGCTGGAGTTTGGGCGGTCATGTGATCAAAATTGCTTCCGTGGCGGCGTCACCTCAGGTGAAGTTTCCAAGGCTCAACTTAAAAATAATAAACTCTTGCTTGTGTTTGGGTGGTCATGAAATCATTTTGAATGCAGGTTCCAGGCCGCAGCTTGAAAGGTATGATTTTTGTGTGTATTTGGATGGTTCAGTGATGTTGTTTGAATGCGGTTTCCAGGCTCAGCTTCAAAAATCTCTTCGGATCACATCCATTTGAAGCAGTATCCAAGGCTACAGCTGCAAAACATTGCGCTTTTGATGGTCCTGGGTGCCACTTGACACAATGTGTTTCAAACTTGGAACATTGGGGATTTCAAGTTTGAAACAAGAAGCGAAAATTGGAATCTCGTAGACTTGGAACAGGACCAATTCTGGGGGCATTGTGTGCGTACAGATCGGGTGGTGTGTATTCCAACTTTGTGGCTCTCACCATGTAGGATCCTACATATGGCACTAGTCAAACCAAAAAGGGAACTACAATGGCGACTATATAGGTAGAGCTCATAAGGATGAGCCATTGATTAGAATATGGGAATTTGGGGGGTAAACTCCAGGTATAGCTTGGCTTATACTGGGGACTTCAAAGGTCTGTTGCTAATATGGGACCCTGATTAAGAAACCCTGGGCCTATAACACCAAAAGAGTAGGATTCATATAAGGATTCCCAATAAAGTCCCATGGTTTCTTAATCAGGTTCCTACATCAAACCCCTTCCAAAACCCTTATAGGACCTTTTTAAGGAACCCTTATGGAACCCTAACAAAGGGGCCTAAAGATCCTACATTACAGATCATTCCGACCCCTTGTGTTGTGGGCTTTGGGGGTCTAGAAGCCTCCGGGCTGAGGGTTTGCATAATGGGTTAAGGGCTTCAGGGGTGGGAGTTTAGGGTTTAGGGTTTGGGGTTCAGGGGTTTCGGAAGGCATGGGGGTTTAGGGCTTTAGGGTTTGCTGTCTTGTGGGCTTCAGGCCACAACTTCTGGAATCGCATCTGTACTTCCTAAACCCTAAAACCGGTTTGAAAGGGTGACCGAACCCTAAACCCCGAAATCCAGAGCCCCTGAACCCTAACCAGACACAGGCGAATTCCAAAGTGCCGCGGCGCCTCGTAGGGCTTCGGCTAGACGATGGAGGCACGCACATGTGCCGTTGAACTCTGAAGCCCCCTATAGTACTCAACCCTTATACTGATATACTCATCCTTATAAATCCTTTCAAAGAAAAAGATCCCTGGTCTCTTGTTTCCATCCCCTGATATCCCGACCCTTAGAGTTTATAGGGGTCAGGTAGCTTTGGGGGTTTAGGTGGGTCAGGGTCAAACCTGCCCTAACCACAACCCCAGCACACAATCTCCAAACATCTCCAAAGCAGGTTTCTTTTTCAGGGCTCACTGTGAGAGTGTATATACCACACCCAGAGACTCCAAGATCCCTTAATTGAGGAATACACCTTAAATTGGAGTAGGATCCTTAGTATAAGTTCAGCTATCTTCCTTACTTAAGCAGAAGCCACACCAGTCTGGGCCGATCCGAGTTCGGGACCTTAACTACTTCGAGGGACCCCCCCCCTAAAGTGCCGGCGCAGGTGCTGGCGCCATCTTCAGCGGCTCCGTTTTCTTGCCCTTCTCCCGGCTTGAACCAATGGGTGGAGGGGACTCCTTGCGCTTCTGCAGTTTGTCCAAACCCTGCATCGAACCTGCACAGAACCCCTATAAAAGAACCTGCATAATCGCAGAGCCCAAACCGAAAGACTCCGTTCAGTGATACCCGAAGCCTACATCCAAAAACCTCTTAAAGTAAAGACTTGACCCAAAGCCCTGCTAGACACTCAGAAGCGCTAAGAGCCCCTGCGCTGACACCATAAACCTCAAACGCAACAAACTAAAGCCAGAATAGTGTAAAGAAATGACACAGGAAACTGCTGAATGCGAATCGAAACCCTACACCCTAAAGGCCCTGAATCCACAAGCGGTGGTTGGAAACATATTTAAGGATATCGGTACACCAAGCCGCGATCAGACTTGCTTTAAACGAATGAGTCCCCTAAAAAGTTGAAGTACATAATCAGGGTAATTAGGGCCGTGCAGACACGGAAGGGTTAAAGTAGACCCTGCTTCATAACCGCCCTTTCTCGAATTCAAATGCCTTAAGATTGGGATCCCTGCCACGTTCCCTGCAGAGGGAACGGGGCGTCTTTCAACAGGAGACATCATTGCAGGCTATCTACCGAAGGCCCTAGGCATCTGCGACCCACTTAAAAAAAGGTGACACCCGTCACTCCTTGAACCTGACCCTACAAAGGCCCCCTTTTTAATTATAATAACAATAATGACAATTACTCATGACAATAATTTGATAATAATGATAATGATCGTAGTAAAAATAATTATTAATATTAATAATAATAACAGGTTCAGGGTTTCCCTAAACTTTAGGGTTTAGGGTTTCGCTAAGCTTTAGGGTTTAGGGTTTAGGGTTTCCCTAAACTTTAGGGTTTAGGGTTTCACTAAGCTTTAGGGTTTAGGGTTTAGGGTTTCCCGAAACTTTAGGGTTTAGGGTTTCCCCAAACTTTAGGGTTGGCCTAAACTTTATGGATTAGGGTTTAGCGTCCGATATGTTAATGTCGCTTATGTGTCTCATGGCATGGGTCGTCGACTTCTTGACTGGAAGCTGCGACGAGGAGAAACGAAGCAATATAATAATAGTAATATCAATAATAGTAATAATAATAATAGTAATAATAATATTAATTTTAATAATAATAATAATAACAATAATAATACAGGGGCCTTTAATTAATAGTTAGACCGGTCCCAAAATAGTATGGGTGATTCTTAAGGCCCCTATAGTACTGTGCCAAGGACCGGTTGAAGATTGAGAGGCGATCGAGCCCGGCGAGGCCACGAAATGGGGGTTTAGTGGCTGAACGTCACCCAAGGGCAAAAAACGAGCTCAGTCCTCAAAAGGTCCTTATACCTTAAGGGTCCAATAGGTACATTGGGCCCAAACTTTTTGCTATTTGGGTACATGGACCCTTAGGGATATGAACAAACAGGACTTCGTTGCAATCTTGATTTGCGGAACGTAGAAGCACCGCTAGTTACGCTCCGACATCCAAGTCCAAACACTGATGTCTAGAACCCCTAAACCCTAAACCCTAAACCCTGAACCCTAAACCCTGAACCCTGAACCCTAAACCCTAAACCCTAAACCCTAAACCCTCAATGCTAGGGCGCATCCTTGGCTTGCCTCATCTCCTAAAGCCGTGAACCCAACACCCTCAGGCCTTTCTGCTATAGGGGCCTTAATAATTAGGATAGGGTTTTGGGGTATTTTATACTATACTTATGATAATAATATTAATAATAATAAAAAGAAAAATAAAAAAATAAAAATAAAAAAATAAAAATATCAATAATAATAATAATAGTAATAATAATAAGAAGAAGAAGAAGAAGAAGAATAAGGAACACCCAAAATAGTATAGGTAATTATTGAGGCCCATGTAGTACCCTTGAATCCCCTGCAAGGCGTCCTGCCGGGGGGGTGCATCCTTCGGCGGTGGCTTCGGCGGCGTGCGCCAGGTCGAGTCCACCCAGAAAGGGTCCGCAGGACTAAAGCGGCGATGGCGGCCAAAGGTCCCTGTGGGAGATTGCGCCATGTTGCGAAGCCTTGCTTAATCGGCTATGGTTTAGGGCACCCTAAACCCTAAACCCTCAACCCTAAACCGTTTAGGGTTTAGGGTTTAAGGTTTTGGGTTAGCCTAAACACTAAATCTTAACAGCTGGGCCCTAGCCCCAAGTGTATAGCTAGGGGATTTAGGGGTGTCGGGGGTCTGGGGTAGGGTGTAGAGGAGTCTTGGAGCAGATGAGGGCTTGGACAAGGCTTTGGGCTTTGGAGTTACCTTAACCCTGAAGAACCTACCTTTTTAAGGACTTATATAAAGAAATCATAATAGGGAACCCTAAAAAGGTAGGTTCTTCAGGGTGAAGGGTTTAGGGTTTAGGGCTTAAGGGTTTAGGGTTTAAGGGCTTGGGCTTCAGAGCTTAAGGTGTTGCAGGTTTTCGGTTGTCGTTTTGTAGAAGCTTCCTTGTCAACCATGCATCTACCACAGATCTCAGATGTGAGAACCAAATGCTCCTAGACAGGAATCCCTACGTAGCCTATCGTGGGCTGCTTGTTTTAAGGAGAGCCAACTCGCCTGCTCTCATGCCTCCCTCAGGGAGTGAGCCGACGCTGCAGCAGCAGGTATAGCTTGAATGCTGACTGTCCAGGTGACGGTATTTTATGGCATATGATGGTATTACTACAGTATACGATGGTATTTTGTAGTGTGGGCTCCAGGGCTGCAGTTACGGATCCGGGTCCCTCTGGAGTCAAGGGCTGTAGGCTATCTCGCATGGCAGAAAAGCTTGGGTCATTCGCCTGCCCAAACGAGCAGTGTAAACATCCGCATATCGCATCGCCTAACAGTCCTTCTTCTCCTCGAGCGATGCTTTTCATCACCATCAACATCGTCATGATCACAGCCGCAGCTAGCGTCGTCATGGTGATGGTCATCGCCATAAGAAAACTGATCGTCATAGCTATCACCGACATCGCGATCATCACCACAACAAGAGCGCACAGACACACACAGAGACACACGCACGCACAGGTGATTCTTCCAGAATCGACGGCATGAATATCCAGGCTTGATCAGCAACACCAGATTCGCCTTCAGACCAATCATCATCAACACCACCATCTGGTCCGTTAGAATCATCACGATAGCGGCATGTGTTTAGCATGTATTGCTGCTCAAAACTGGACACCTACCTTACGAATGGCAAGCATATACCTATGATGTCCCCGAAACCCTAAAAGCTAAGACCAAAAGGAGTTATCGAAAATTTGGGGTACCCTATTTTGGGGGGGTCCTTAAAATTTGGATCCTACTATTTAGGGTACTATATTAGGGTCCCCTATTTTCGGAAACTCCCATATGCACTGGACAAGCCACAGCTCACTGGGGAACATCAGCAACTTCGGCAAGACCACTGCGGAAGCCCAAGCTCCAAAATCCGGACTTTTTTTATAAAAACAACAAGAGGGTTTAGGGCTTAGGACGTTTATAGGGTGTAGGGTTTTAGGCTTAGGACGTTTCGGGTTCAGGGTTTCAGGTTTAGGACATTTAAGGTTTAGGGTTCAAGGTATAGGACGTTTAAGGTTTAGGGTTCAAGTTTTAGGACCTTTGGGGTTTAGGGTTCAAGGTTTAGGACGTTTAGGGTTTCGGGTTCAAGGTATTTAGGACGTTTAGGGTTTAGGGTTAACAAGACGGTTCGGGTTTAGGGTTTATAGGGCTTACAAGACGGTTGAGGCAAACTCCGCAGCCTTCAGGATCGGGTCGTCAGCGGGAATCGGCTCCGTGGCAAAGACATCCAAACCTCGAACTGCTCGAGGTGCAGAGCTTCATGGGTTTAGGGTTGACCACCGACCCAAGAGCACTTAATACAGTCTAAAAATCCTCCCTGTTAGCAAACCCGCTTGCAGTTTAGGGTCTAGGAACTTTAGGGCATTTTCATGTAGACCTCGAATAGGTATTTTAAAGGTCCCTTCCTTTCCAAAAGGGTTCCTTCTGGAACCTAATCTTAGGGCCCTTAAGGAAAGGGGGCTTATCCATCAGGGGTCGGCAGTTTTGTTCAGTATTGCTGTTGTTGCATGTGGTTGCTATAACTACTACCAGAACCATCCCTGGACTCCATCACCTAAACTCTTCGTCAAAGCCGCACTCCCATGACCTACTCCTCGAGCTCCACTTACGCCAATATTGCTAACCCTGGACTCGAAGGGCCATGAGCAATGACATGTTTGGACTCTAGACTCTAGAGCCTAGCAATATGCTGCCTGCCTTGGGCTGTCTCTCTCTGTCTCTCTCTCTCTCTCTCAACCTAGCTGCCTGCCTACCTACCTAACTGTACATGTATATTACATATATGCATATATATATATATGTATGTACCCAGTTACATGAACAGACTCGTTAAGGGGCCATCTCGAGCCACAGGGTGTCTAGGCCCGGTGCCGGCGCGGAAGCGTCGCTGAGACAGGAGCTCTGCAAGCCTCTTAGAGGGCTAAGGGGTTTAGGGTTTAGAGATTTAGGGTTTATAGGGTTTAGAGGTCGAGTTTAGTGTTCGGGGTGTTACGGTTGAGGGGTTCAGGGCCTTAAGTCCTAGGGTTGGGAGGTCAGAAAACTTGAAGAGGCTAATTAAGGGCTGAGTGCTCTATGCAAGGATCCTGAGTCTGGGGCTCATACTTCTTTGCCTTTGTTTGCAGAATCTTTTCTAAGTGCCAGGGTGCTAGGGGTGCGGTTCTAGGCCTTGGGCTTGGGCTTGAGATGGCGTGAGGTTCGTCCGACGAAGTTTAGGAAATCGATGCGCGGTGCAGGTTCGGGCTCCTCATGATGCATACCTTAAACTACCAAAACCTACTTTTTTGTAGGGTCCCTATAAATTCTATATTAGGGTTTATAAGTTTAAGGTAGAGGTGCAGGCTCCTTCACCGAGGTGTCAGCCGCCCCGCTTCGAATGTGGGCATGAGTTTGTGTCGGAGAGGCTGTGTGGTCGTCAAAATTACGGTCCTTTTTGAGTCCCTATATTTCTTACGGCACCTCTTTCAGGGTACCCAAAAATGGACCCTAATTTTGGCAACCTCCTAGAGTCTCCATTGTAGTTTCGTTTCCGGGGTACCTTATAGGATCCTAGCCATAATTGGTTTAACCAAAAAAGGAACTACGATGGAGACTATAGGTTAACAATCTTCTGACCCCTACAATTACTCCGAACCCATAATAACTCCAACTCGGCACACGGATTTCTTCTGGGCGCCAGGTATTTGAGGTAGTCTCGTCGGAACCTCCGTGCTGCGTTCGCTTACACCGTGAAACTAGGTTGCAAGCCTGAACCCTGCGCGGACTATCAGCAGAGTGGCACGGGCTGATCGCAAACCCCGCCACGCGCCACGTTGATGAGCACTGCCTGCGCTGTCGGCTTTCAGGGCTTTGTGTCGGGAGCATACGCAGCAGCCGGTGTCTGAAAATAAGTGCTATGACATCTAACCATCACGTGGCAACCTCGGTAAAGATTGAGCTCGAGCACGTGCAAAGCAGTAACAACACTGATCCTGAGCAACTCAAGATTTGCCTCGGTTGCGAGACACTCTTACCTACTTCCAGTGATGGGGTTCGTTGTTTGAACAACTTGGCAGACCCCAAAAGCCGTAGACCTGTGCTCTGTGTACACGTATGTTCGTCTGAACCATGAACCGTATCATCTACACCGACAGTCCTTGTGTCCTTGCATCCTCTAACGACACCCTGAACCCAAAACCCCAATTGCTGCATTAGCCCGAATAAGCGTTTGAACACATACAGCGAGCTTTCAGAACTTTCAGGATTGACTGGGGGGTGTCAGTAGGGATCATACGAACACAGCACAAACAGTTTAGGCTCAGGATCAGGGGTTGAAGATTATCACAGAGCACCTGCGATGCGCACCAAACTAACCTCCGCGCCCTAAATCTCATGCAAGTGTAGAAAACCATGGCAGGACGGACCTCTGGGCGAAGGCGTTCCAGCAAGTTGCGGCCGATGATGCCCTGCTCTGACGTACGGCTGGACATGTCCCACATGGTTACAGTATTATATCTAGACAAAGTACAACGAGTTGATAGATAAGATCCCGCTGTAAGTTAATATAGTGTCCTTAACAATTAGACTAGGGTTTTGGCGCCCATGATACCATACTGAGGAAAAAGGAACCCCCAAAATGGTATTGGTAATTATTTAGGCCCCTATACCAGAGAACCCTACTCTGGGACCCGTTAAGGGGTGCAGTACTGCGGGTTCTATACTGGTACCTATAATCTCCATTGTAGTTCCGCTTTGTTAGCATCCTATAATAAAGTAACCCAAAAAAGGAACTACAATGGAGACTATAAGCAGAGCCCAAACTTCAGCCAACTACGCTGTTCGGAGCTTTTAGGGTTTAGGGTGGCTTCGGGTCTGGGTTTAGTTTAGGGCTCTGGGTTTCGAGGGTTTCAGTGTCCATAAAAATGCAGAATGCTACCGAACTGTGACACAGGCTTACGGCAGTATTTAGGGCTTTTGGGGTTTGGTGTTTGAGTTTATTTGCGGGTTCAGGGCTGAGGCTTAGCCTTACTCACTGAAACTCTGATGCGCTGACGGCAGTTTGCACGATATGTACTAAAAAGGAACAGAATATGAGGTAGGTTTTCTCCGGGCATCCCTCAAAGGACCCAACGGCACACTCACCCCTCTCAATCTCAATTCGGAGCCCTAGGTACGGCCCAGTTATACAAACGCAATGAAACGAACCTTGCAGGGAACCAGTGCATGGAACAACCCGGCTAAGTCATCATGCAAAGAAGTCGCGAGCCTGCGTCTCTGCCTAGGCGAGGACTTGGAGTGTTAGCGAACGAAGCCCTCTTTTGCATCTGACGTAGCTTTGCACATTTCAGTGTCATAGGGGCGCGGTTAGGTGAACTGACTGTCGGTGGTGCAAGCTTGCGACATTGAGCTTCTGGAGTTGCCACCACGACGACGACTACTCCTCCCATGAAAAGCCACTAACACATAAATCTCATTGCTATCCTGACCTTGTG